GGGGGATATTGTATTAATATTGATGATATGATATCACTAATTAATAATAAAATTTTAAACGGATAAAATAAACACCACTTGAATAGTTATTAACTTACGTGAAAGAAGAGTGATCGGTTATCTGCTTACACGATCGAATAGTTATTGACTTGTGTGAGATTCACTTCCTTATTTTTTTTATATATTATTAATAGATGATATTGCATGACAATACTGACTTGATATGATAATGAATATTTTTTCACTAAGCAGATATTACTATTTGAGTTCCTGAACTTGGGTCATCTTCAAGGTAAGTGGATCGACGTGCTCATCCTTGTAACAGAGCTCCTTTCAGGACTTCCATTATTGGTACCGAGATAATAGCAAAAATTGCTTTTTATGAGCATCATTAGGACTTGATACCAGCAGACTCATCGCCGAAATCATAGTCCTGGATGTTATTCTTTGGCAGGGACAAGCTGTCAACAGATAAAGAGATTAACATCAGAAAAAAATTGTATGAGAAGACAATCATTTAGTGACACAAATGGGATATATTATTGCACATGCACAAGGAGGTGTCGCCCTTTGATGCAATCTGCATCCATGGTAACCAAAGAAATACATTAGGACATGTTTGCTATGTTTTTTGAGGCGGGTTTGAATTAGTTTGTTTAAACTTGGATTTGACTTAAAGATAAAATTCAAAGATAGGATTCAACATTCAATATTGTTCAGACTTATAATTGGCATGCGCGGGAATATATGATTATTATGATATTATATTTGTATATAAATAATTATTGTACTCTTTAATTAATTTGTATATATGAGGTATATAATATATATGAGGATATAAATGTCATTTATATGTTAAATCCGTTAACCCACATATGAAACCCATCCCCCTTGGGTTTCGTAAAACCCAAATATGTGAGTTTCATGACCAGGCCATGACTGGGCCGGGTTTCAAACCCTCAAATTCTATTAGAGGTTAGAATCGCTTGCATTGAGTATGACTTGTTAGATTTTTTTGTTGCCAAATAACAATCCCAAGATAATCAAGCTATTCACCAATACAGATTGACTCATTGAGGATTCATTCATTAGAAGCTTAGTCATCTGCATATAATATAAAAGATACAATTACTGTATATGCAATAGATACAATTGCTCCTAAAGAGCAACAAACTTTTAACTACATTGCATTCTTCAAAGTATCGGGCGATACTGATACAAATCGGTTGGATCGTATCTGACTCGGTGCCTACCAAAATGATACGTATAAATCTCAAGTTTTGCATGACTTGGCCGAGTCGTCCAAATTGTATCCGAGTCAATCCTAAGTTATCGAGTTATCTTCACCGAATTAGTCGATAAAATTCCGCAAAATCGTAGTACGACTTATATCTTTATTCATATTCAACATTTTTTTTAAAGTTGTATCACCTGATATAGCGTCACGACACCACGATCGATGTGACTCAAAACTTTTTGAGTAGATGACCGATACCATACCTTGAACTATGCTACATTGGCATTTAGATTCCATCCGGTATACTCTCCCTCGATGGTAACTCAGCCACTACGGATTGGCGTGAGACCCACTTTTGTGGGTTCCACTTGACTTTATGGTAGTTTATCTACCATAGGAGGAAATTGAGGTAAATATACTATAGGGAACCTGCATCACCATTAAGGCTTTTTTTGTTCCAATAATTACACAAAATACCACCTCAAATTTGTTTAATAGAAAAGTTTTCCATAAATGTTCTTTTTTGTGCTAATCTTGAGTTATCACTTACCTAATTTGGGCCTCACCGTTTCTGTCTGATGTCTTGGAAACATGTATATACAGCAGCCAGATTTTTAAGCCACTGTTTGAATTGTGCCATTTCCCTAATGACAAGTCTTCATGTATACAAAGCAAGACAATAACCCAATTTAGAGGGGTTGAAGTTTAACTCCATACTTTTTGTGTATCTTTGTGTCTTATATGTCTGCATGTTTATTAGCATACCCTAACAACCTCATCTCATAGCTAAAAACTACTTATCACATCATAAATAGATACACTTATTGACAATCTGGTATGAAGTACCAACCAGGTATGGTATAACTCTAAAGTAGTTTCTATTTTCCAACCTAAATTATTGTATTTTTGGATCAAATTCAAATTTACAATCAAAAGAAGTTACATTTTTTTCAACAAAATTCATACTTACCAATAAACTTTATTTTCCCCGATTACATTTCATATTTACGAATCACAAAAATTGTTTTTGTTTTCAATGAACTTTTAATCTGTCAATCAACTTGAATTTATTTTAGTTGAACAATCTACTGCAACTGAGCAATGAGTTCTTAGAAAAACATAAGCAGAAAGAAGTAAACAACCAATAGAAGAATTACCCCTTGGGAGAATGAAAATAAAATCATCTCTAGACCAAAGAACATTTGGAAAAAACCCGAAAAGCTAGTTCACAATGAGCAATGGATATATATGGTGTAACGGACATCACAAATCTATATTAACCCACATTTCATCTACAACAACCTCAGAAAATCAAATGTGCAACATGCTGTCAATATAAGAGTAGAACTGCCAAAATAATAAGGAAATTGTTGTTCTAAGGAATGTACTTGAGCACATTTTTTGAATGACATCTGAGAACAGGTCTGAAATTGTTGAACGGCATGCAAAACAGTTCGGAGACACCCCATGTCACCCCAACCCCACCCTGGGGTGGCGAATAGTACCCTGATCAGAGCACTGGGTAGGAAAAGTGAATATTTCTTGACAACTCTCAACATCAGCGTCACAAAGCAAAATCCTAACTTTGCTTCCGATCAATAAATTCATTGCTACTATTTTCACTTGTCATGGTGCTCTTACCCCTTATCCATTGCATGCAAAAACAGGCTTACTATAACGACCTAGGAAACAAATAAAAATTAAAATGCTATTGTACCCACAGTGGCTGTTTGCATTTCTGTACTTAATATAGAGGTGTATTAGCCAACATATAGTTTGATCTACCAAATTCTAATGGTTGGCCTAATTGTTAGTTATACTTACTTGTCATGGTCTAAGACAAGTAGATACACTGTTGAAAGACTCTCTCTGCCGGATTTTGAATGAACCCTTCTCAGATGATGTTCTGTTGGTGTTTGAGAAATAAAAGTAGGATTAAAGAGATTAATCAATTCTTTAATTATATGGCCAACTATGAAAAGGGTTATGACGATGATGGATTAGTATTTAGTACCTAGTTTTTGTTTCGACTTTCTTAGAAGGTTTTGTTTTTTGTTGCAGCTGAAAATCTGAAAATTTATCAAGATGCCTGACTCGATTTCATCAACAAGTACCACGTGCTTTTAAGATTCGAGATCAGGCAGTTTTTAAGCATACCATCACATTCATTAGCAATTTCGACCTGTGTCAGATCCTTCAAAAGCAACATGGGTTCTTCTCACATGGAGGCCTTGTAACTTAGTGGAGAACTCACAAGCATCACTAGGATGATAAGCACTCAAATGAAATTTCTTGCACTTTTCACCTATTTTAGATAGACAGAACACGTGTTGCATGATCTTATCAGCTTAACCCTATGACAGGAGCATTTTATGAGGACAAAGATCTATCAACATTTGAGTTAGTTATGTTCCTGGTGGTTGTGTATGGTGACCCTACCTTCCACATCAATGCCCTTATAGGGGGTCACTAATTTGTAATATTTCTCCATTGTTCTTCAACTTACGTGTAAATGATATATAAGCACATCATGTTGATATGTTACGTATCCAAAATTGAAGCAATTATCGTATAAAATCCCTGAATCTCTTTTAAATCTGGGCTGTGTCTGTGTGTTACAGGATCAGGAATTTATTTATCAGAGTTGCCTGCTTTCTCAGTGGGTGATTGCACTTTTAGAGAATCCCTATATCGGTCTAAATTTTACTTTCTTTCTCTCGGACATACTATGTACATAATACAACAGTAAGCTGTGAGTCTGTCATCACTAGTTCCAATCTTCAGTACAGTAAATAGCCTATGCAAACCCATGTAGTTGTTAAATTTTCTTAAAATCGCCATCAGATTCAATTGAAGTCCACTCCAAAGGTAGCCCAGTTTCAAAAGTGCATTAGTGGTGATCTGAAAAGAACTGCTTCTTTCCTTCTGAATTTTTTTTTATTTTTGGACCCTTTCGATTCCTAAAAGTTGTATATTCTGTCTCTGCTAACTCATTCTTGCATTGAATGTAGCTTTATCTACATTCTGAATGCTTAATGAAGAGACTTACTGCTCACTTATTTCTTGACATTCATTAACACAATGACCTTTAACAGACATCCCATAAGGATATAATAACAGGGTACTTATAGTCTTTTCATAGATAGCAGCATACAAACAGTCCAACTACCACAATGTTTTACATAGACTGCTAACAGTGTCAGAACCATCCAGTAATGAAAAATGGTGCACATACTCACCTTTTCCCCCCTTATGGTCAAATATAACAGGAATGAAATACATAACCGACTCTTCCTAATAGATACCATGCTAACACTTTACTTCTATGCGAAAATTTATGGTCATACATTCATTATTAAGAAATGCATAATTCGACAACTACTATTTGAGTCTCTGAAATTGATCTCGAGATAAGTTGCGGGATCATCCCTATGACAAAGCACCTTCAGGACTTCCATTTTCGTGCAGTGAGAATGGTAGTTGTTATTTATTAGCATTATAAAGATTTGATTACAGCAGACTGATCACTGAAGTCATAATTCAGGATATTATTCTCTGGCAGGCCTAGCTGCAAGGTATAAGAAATCAGCATCAGAACAATACTTTGAGAAGATATCAAGGTAGTATATACCTTGTGAATCAATAATAAAATGCTACTTTCCAAGAGATGAAAGGTTTGTTAAAAAAGGAAATATGTAAAGGGAAAAGAAACAAGTGAATGCACTTTTTACAAAAATCAAGTGATACCAACCATAGGCCTTCCTCACTGCAAGTGAGCCCACAAATTCATTAGTGCATTATTGTGTAAAGGCTTCACAAGATAGTCACTTGCTCCAAGTCCCAAGGCCTTCAAAACGAGTGAGACTTCATTTTCTGTCACCATCACTTTACCAAAACAAAGACAATAAAGCTATTAGGATCTCTCAGCCAATTGAGGAGGGAAAAAAAAAGGGTAAACCATTTGGGTATGATGACAAAAAAATAAGCTTACTAATAACAGGAATTTGTTTGAACTCTTTCTCGCGTTTAAGGTACTTCAGAATCTTCCCACCATTGGTCATTAGAAGGTTAGCTTCAGCAAGTATGATATCGGTACGAGGCCCATCACAGTTCAGTGCATCAAACACATCTGTTGCTGTAAATGCTGGGGTTACTGTGAAAGGGTGAAGCAACAAGCATCCAGAGTCAGTTCGGGGTTCCCATTTCAGATAGTTATATATCAAACAATTTTACCAGTACAATGGATTTGTTCCAGAATATATTCTGAAACATTTAAGATTTGTTCATTAGAAGCTTGGCATATGAATATAGCAAAGTTAATGCAAAAATCCCAACTCTGCTATAAAAACTGCAAGTTTGTTACCATGGTGGCTTTTATATGAATCTTTAGTAGCTACTCTGCCAGTTTTATTGTTCACCTGGAAAAAAAAAAAATAAAGGCAACAAAGAAACAGAAAAAGGACTCGTGCTTATGTCATTGTTGTAATTTTTGCCTCAACAAGTCTACCTAATGACATCTGAGATTTGTTTTATGGGAACTTTTCCATAAATGTTCTGTTATGTGCTAATCATGCTAATCTTAGGAATCACTTTCCAGATTTGGGGTTCACCAGTTTTGTCTGATGTCATGGAAACAAATATATAAACAACAGCCAGCCTTTTAAACCTTGTCTAATTATGTCATCATCCTAATGATAGCTTCTCATAAGGACAAAGAAAGAAGATAACCCACTTTTAAGAGTAACTAACCTTTAATTCTTTAATTCTCCGTTTCTTTGTCCCACTATGTCTACATGTGTCTCAGCATATCCTAGTTCCTAACAACCTTTTTTTATCCAGTAAGTAGTTCCTAACAACTTATCAGTTATCAAATAACCAAAAATAGTTAAGAACATCATATAAGTAGAAATACTTCTAGAAAAAGGCTAAAGTTATATTTGGTCTTATAATTATCCACTTGCTATTATCAATTCAGATTTTGGAAATCCATCTTTGAAACTCAAGAAATGACTTTGCGAAGAGTTCCTGAAAATTACAAGGGAAGAAAAGAGGAAGGTAAAAAACTGGTATTGGAATTACCCTTGGGAGAGTGAAATTAAAATTCAAACTCTAGAACAAAGAACAAAGGCCATGTGAATAAGCACATGAGCAAGTAGAATAATTGGGTAATTATTTGTCATTAAGAAAAGCTATTTCACAACAAACAATGGAGATACACGATGTAATGAATATTAGGAGGCTGAATCAAAGCAAATTTCATCTAAAAGAACCTCAGAAAATCAAGTGTGCAACATATTGTCAGCAAAATCTTTGGAAGTTTTTGTTGGAAAGTAAATAATTCAGCATAATTTTTGGTCTGCAAATAAGCCAGAAAGTGCAGTAACTTTTCTGAACTGCAGAGCATGGGTCCGAAATGGTTGACCCATCACCAAAATTTGTGAATGTGTATGTGGGTGGGGGTGGAGGTCGGGGATAGGGGGAAGAGGAGGAGGGGTTGAATGAAAAAGTGTACCTTGATAAGAGCATTGGGTAAGAAGTGTGAATATTTCTTGGCAACTCTCAACATCAGTGTCACAAAGCAAAATCCTAACTTTGCTGCGATCAGTAAGATCTCTGCTACCATTTTCACTTGTCACAAGGCTCTTGCCCCTATCCATTTTGCATGCAAAAACAGACTTACTACAACGTCCTAGGAAAGGATATTTAATTAAAAAGCTTACATAAAGGTTTCCCACCAACCACACTCTGCCTTTATACTGGCTTCACCAGGTTCTCTGCTTATATACTATTGTGTCATCCAACAGAGTTTGGTCTACCAAATTGTAAGGGCAAACCTAATTGTTAGTTATACTGGGGCTGACTTGGTCTAGGATCTTTGTATTCACTTTTCCAAAGATTCTTGTCGAACAAGACTTCCCATCACATCTCACCACGTTGATGTAATGTACTTGGAAAGATGAAGATAGGATTAAAGAGCTAAGCACTTCTTCAATCAAATAACCATCAACAACAAAACTAATCATGATGACGACGATAATAAGTACTGGTTCTTTTTTTTGGCTTTCTTAAAAGGTTTCTTTTGAGAAAACGCTTCAAAGATAAAAAAAAAAAAAATTAACAAAAGTTTCCAAACAAAATGATATGACAACGGCATTTTGAACATATGCACTAAGGAATAAGCACATGATTTTTTTCGGGCTTTCTTAAAGAGTTCTTTTTAAGAAAACATTTCATAAATACAATTCTTAACAAAATTTTCCAAACATCGACGACATTTTGAAAATACCATGATGTTAAACAGTGGTGGGATCCGAAGCTCATTTTGCAGTCTAGACACAGTTATCTGTGGATCTGGGGTTTGTCTAGATGCCAGAGATTTTTCATGGACAAAAAACATGTGCTTTTAAGAGTACACTGCATGCACTTGGATCCTCTAAAAGCACTACTCACATGCTCTGTGATGAGATCTTTTGGTGCCAAGCAGCAGATTAGCATTCAAATAGCAAATTGCTGCACTTTTCACTTATTGAGGATAGGCAGAGCGTTTGGTGTATGGATCTCATCGACTTGATTTCACTGCAACAAGAAGCTGTTCATAGGACAATGATATATATTTGAGATCTTTACATTCATGCTGCTCCCATAGGAGGTCACATCAACCTTAATGCTGTTTAATTTTTGTTTCCAAGGCCTGCTGAAAACAGAGTTTAAAGGATGCTCAACTAAATGAAGAGGATAATCTGAGACTTGTTTCCAATATTGCAACAACACAGTTAAGATTATTTAGAGTTAACGGGTGTTTCAATAATGTTTCTGCTCAAGTTCGATACTATCGCTGCCAAATATGACAATTTTGAGTATAACAAATGCTAATCCACCCAAGCAATATATCACCAGTTCGAATTTAGGAATCAATCTCTTCAAAATCGAGTTAACATTAAGAACAAAATATGGAGAGAAAATTTTCTACCACGTACAGGAAGGAACTACTGACTGATTTCAGGATAATGGTCCACAAAAGCAGTTTTCATCCCTGTATTAACATGTGTGCTTATTTCAAAATTATCACAGAATTTGTAAGAAGAATAACGCTAGAAAAGGCCATTTTCTTTCAAACAATATAAGGTATAACAACAGTCAGATAAACCAATTAAAACCTTACAGGTAACAGTCATCATTCAGAGCATGAAGCTCTCTTCTACAAATTTGCAAACATGAAATCCCAAATCTCATTCCGAGAGTTAATACAAATATATGTACCCTATGACCAATCAGTTTGAATGCACAATCAACTTTTTTGCCACCAATCGGATGCCAGCATTCTGCTGATAATCATATGGGTCCATGGAGATGTAGGCATCAACGAGATTCCCTGGAGCAAATAAGGCATCAAGTTCTACAACATCAAATCTGCTAAAGACAAGCCTTTGTGTGGTAGAATCTCTCTCGTATATATCTGTAACCCATCTGAGCATACTTCCATCTGCTACGGTGGGTAAGCTGTAGAAACCACACAAAATGTAACATGAGCCTTCTATAACAGCAAGTATGAAATTCTTAATTTGTCATCAGGACCCGACAATAGGATAGATGGAAGGAACACAAAATTCAGAATATTGCAACTAGTAATCCAACATTCTGATGTGAAAGGATATAAACTATTCCTTCAATTTTAAACCATCTTTCCGGTTGAGCAGATGAAGCAGTTACCTAAAAAAAAGTGACGAACTATATTGAAATTAACGATAACTGGGAAAAATCATTAAAGAGGACTTTTTCCCAAGACAGGTTTTCTATTTTGATTGACACCTTTTTTAGGTATTATTGCTCATACGGTTGCATATATTCTAGTTTTAATAACTAAAGATCTTGGGAGATCCAACAATTATTAGTTTTAGAGCTACCAACTATTAAGTTTTTCTATACAAATGGTATCAGAAAAACTTGCTTATAAGTGCATAATTTTATTCTCAGAAATAAATTATACATATATTTTCAAGGTTGGATTATATTCAAGAATGCATCTAGTGTATAGTGCAACCGATGTACACCTCTTAAGTTGAACGATAAGTTCTAAAATACATTCTAGAGTCATTGGACCAACAATGCTTTATGGTCCACATGTTAGATAAATAAGAAACAACATGCTCAAAAACTAAGTGATTAATACATCTCAACAATGATGCAAGGGATGCATGCAGAACAAAATAACCTTTGAATGAGATATTAAAAATAGATATGATAACTTATAGATCAATAGAAGATGTGCCCTTTGATACGTAAAATACAATTCTTATGCATACTTATTTTTCCTTTCCACGATATAAAACTATCGTGTTTTTCAAAAATAATTAGTCGGAAAAGTGATAAAATTATTAACAATCCATTGAGAACAAAGTTGGTTATCCAAAAATTATAACTCAATAAAAACATTTAGTTATTGGTTTAATTACAATTATGCCTTCAAAGTATATATCTCTTCTTACTCTAGTCTCTAAACGTACAACGGAGTAAATTGCCATTTCCTTCATTAACATAGTATGAATTCTGTCCAATCGATAACATTAGAACTATCTTTCATGGAAAAAGTAGTGTGTGCACATGCCATTTCTCTGTGATGCACTTGGCATTTTTGTCAAGTGATTTACGGAAGTCATTAATTGGACTGAATTCACACTATGTTTAGAGTTGGAAGTATAAAATTGACAGGATTGAAAATTTAGGAACTAACAGTAAGAATCAATATAAACATCAATGGCGTAGTTGCAAATAACCCCATATTACTTTGATATTGATTTATGGTCGACAGTAGAACTAAAACGAGAACATAAAAAAAAATGATTAATATTCAGTTACAAGAAAAAAGGTCATGTGAAAGAACAAATTATTGTGTTCTGATTGTGGGTCAATTCTTTCCTGGATAAAGAAGTAAAGGGAAGAGCAACTTACTGCAATCGTACGGTAGGTGAATTCAAGAAGCCAGCCTTTCTACTCACAACATGCCTCCATTCAGAGCTGCTACCAGAATCCATTGACAACCTCTGGGAAAGATTATCACATGCATCCAGAACCTGACATAACCTTTCTGATGCATCCACCACAAAACTCAACCTTGGCCTGCCAGCATAGTCAACAAATTTTGTACTTATTCCGAAGCGCACTTTCAAGCGACTGCACCAAAGTTGCAATGGGACATCTTTGTACAATATTTGTATTTTTTGAGTGCCACGGTAAAATGGCACAAGAACTGCTGTGACAGAGGGTGTAGAAACTTCATTATAATCTAAGAAATCAGTGCAGCCACTGGAAGCCTCAGATTCGGTTGCTGCAGAAGACTCTGGCGACACTGAACTGGATTCTTCTTCCATGGAATCACTATCATCTGACTGAGGGGACTCCCTCTCCATTTCATTTCTGAGTGGGCCCATGTCAAAAGGATCTGCTGTAGCAATATTAGGTACTATGGGATCAGGAATTTCTACTCCCGTGTTGGGAGTCATAAGCGATAATATTGGATGATTCTCCAGTATGTGACTTGTAGAAGATGAAGTTGGATGATTTTCAACCTTGGCACTTCTTGAGGGTAAATTTGTGTTCAAGCCCATCCCCTCTGAAGAACCTACACCATTACTACGACTTCTTGTAGTAGCATTTGGAGAAACCCAGCTGTTTGTTGTAAAAATGTCTGGGAGGCTTGATTCCTGCAGGTATAGGGGGGTGTAAACATTTGTTACAACCACCAATCTCCGTATTTGGCAAGAAGCTTTACCAGTAGGTATATAGTGCATTGCAAGACAGGTGATAATGAATTCGACATCAATATGAATGACATCACGAGCCTAACTGAAACACTAATTCATTCCCAACTTCAATCTTTGTCTCGTGTTAGAAATATCTGTCTTTTAATTTTGTCTACAATAGGCAGAAGTTGCCAATATTATAAAGAAGAAAAATCAATGTGACATAATAAACCCCATGCATGATCTTCGGCCATCACCACTCTGTCAGGAAACTATGTCTATTGACTAATGACATGCAATATGGTGCAAGAAATGTAATTCTTTACAAAAACATAGATAACACAAACAAGGAACAAAAAATCCTCTGGCAGCAGGCTGAATACAATGGAAGTTGTTATCTGAATTTGAGAAGTATAGTTGTTGGAACAAGGAGAATTAGATAGCAAACCATCATTCATTAGGCAATTGATGTCTTATAGACATGAAATCATAAAATTACCAGGAATAAAACTGTTGCACAGTATTTGAGAACTTCGAGATTCATTCGAACATCATCCAAACTCCTGCAATTCAGCGCAAAAAGTATTACTTAAACTAAATCCAAAGACTTGAGAGAAGCAAATAACCCCCATATAATAGTAATGACAGAACAGACGTCATTACACAGCTACTGCTTGCATGTCTTAAATTTCCAACTACTAATGAATATTTTGGTGATTTGCTGAGCCACATGCAAATCCAAATTCTATTGCATCATAGGCAATAGAGCATAGCTATGGCATCACACATATGTAATAAGACTAGGAATTTCGGAAAGGAACAGAGTTTCCAAGTATATAAAATGAAAAAACTATTAACACGGGTAAATTATTTCATTGTCCCTCGAGTTTGGAGCCATTATCATGTTGGTCCTTAATCTTCTAACATTCTCAATTGAGTCCTTGAACTTTGTACATTTTTTCCATGCAGCCCAATTAATATTGCTAGTTTCAAATTTGGGTGGATTATGGCCAGTATTAAAAAGTGATTTATAGACAAATATAAATTAAAAACAAGGATCAAATTGTTCATAACCCCCAAACTTTAGGGGCTAATTGTATACATCACGCCTAATGAAAGTATACTGTAGAAAATGCTGGAAACGCATATGTAAAGAGTGAGAAGGCATGTACCTATGCGTTTGCTGTCCAAGCCCAAAATAAGTTGCAAGAGTGGCCATCTGCTTAATAAAATAAGGTTAGAGCAGCATTTGAAAGTTAATGCTAACAAAAAGCCAATTACATCCCACCAGCAATTAAAACATAAGCAAACATAGGTGCATAATCCACAAAGTGACACTCATAATTACTCATGAATTAGCTAAAACTCATAACATTGGCTAAATATAAAAATCAACAAAGATGTAAAAATTCAAGAAAAAAACAAGATGTAAAAATTCAAGAAAAAAACAAGGTAATTACTAATTATAGGACACCCAAATAGATAGCATGATCTCAAAAGCAAGTTGAATCATTGCTTATCTGCCTTAGGTATATTCAACTCGAATCTGCCGCCTTTGCAAGTTAAATTAAAGAGTTCTCATACCTTAAATACTATCAACAAATTTTAAAGCCCTGAATAACATGTGCACGCCTCACACGATAGCATATAGTTTAACAGAAAATTCCATACTGTTTTTTCTATTTATTAGCAAAGGAAAAAACAATGGGACGAAAATAAAATCCAATAGATGAATTACCTTCAAGAAGGAAAAAAATGCCAATTATCCTGAGCAAACAAAAGATATAGTTTTCTAAACAGGGAAATAAAGTTCATCTCTAGCAAATGCAGTTTTAAAAGCAAATTCAACAGAGAACCCTCATCAGTCAAGATACTTTTATGTATGCGTGTAAGCCTTCCAAGAATTAGTAGTCTAGAAGCCAGAGGTATGCTTTCAACGATGTTAAGATGCATTGCAGATCAATTATCTAATGCACAATGCTGGAAGAAGGGAGGCACATATAAACATTAGGTGGTAATTGGGGTTTCTGGTGTCTACTAAAAGCTTGTTCTGCGATACAAATATTCAGAATGACAAGAGAATACTCCAGTCACAAACTAGAAAGCAAAACAAACCCAAATTGGCAATTCATTTTTGATACCCATAAAGGCCAACATTTCATATTTTAAAGAAGAGGGGAAGAGAGAGAGTAAATAACAAACCTTCATATCACCAGCTCTCCTTCCGAACCTTTGCGTCAACAACGCCAATGAATCAATTGTCCCCTTGGGCTCTGGTGGCGGTCTATTGATCTCCGCAAACACCTCCCGAATCCGAGCACAATCAAACCTTAGTATATTGTGACCCGCCCATATCCTCCCTACACAAATTACAGCCACCGCAAGAACAAATTATATCTTAAAATGCATAACACCTGGTAAAATTCACATACAGACGCACACATGTAAAGAACCCAATAATATACAAAATTTCAAAGCACCCACGAAACCACACCCCCCCCCCCCCCCCAAAAAAATACCATTATTGAAATTTGTAGCCCAAAACACCTCATAAAATTAAACATACCCACAAAACAGATGTGTTTAGAGAGAGAGAGAGAGAGAGAGACCGTGGAGGAGGTCGTAGACCCTATCGGCGATTTCGGCGAAGGTGGGGGCAGAAATGACGGCGTCTTTGGTAATTCCATTGCATCGAACGGAGAGAGTGGATATGAGAGAGAGGTTGGTAGGTCGGACCAGGGTAGAGTAGCTCTCCAGCTCAATGAGCTTCCTGGGACAGACCAAGATGGCTCCGAATTCCAGAAGCGCAAATCCCTGGCCTGGTCTAGTTGGGACCGTCGTCTCCACGTCGAAGAACGCTATCTCCGACCGATCACTGCTAGACGACACCATTGTACTGCGTAATGTGTGTGTATGAGAGAGAGAGAGAAAGAGAGAGAGAAGATAGAGGGGTCGCCGTATGTCCAGGAAGAGTAGAAATCGATGGTATAATATAGAGGGGAGAGAGAGAGAGAGAGAGAGAGTGATGCAGACGGAAGAAGAAAACGTGCCAATGAAAGCACACGTAAAAGGGAGACGTGTGGTATTACGTTTGTGCCCCTGTTTACTATTTAGAATGAGTTTATGCAGCCCACTTAGATTGGGATTAAGATATTTATCAAGAATTTTTGTCACTAAGATGTCTAAAGAGTAATGTTATATAAATTTAAAAATTAGATTTTATAATCATAATTATTGAATATATAGTAGAATTCAATAAATTAATAATTATAATTATCAAGTTTAAAATATTTTTAATTTTTTATAAAATTAAATGTTATTATAACAAAAATGACTTTTTCATATGCAGAAAAAAAATTAGTACAAAGAAAAAAAAATTACTTGTATAAAATTTTGAGTAATGCTATTTATACTTAAAAATCTGACTTAACTTATTGACATAATGATGTGACTTAATATGAATTATTAGATCAACACCAAATTCCAATGTTTGATGGATCTACAACCATCAACACCAAATTTCAATGTTTGATGGGGCTTACAACCAATCTAAAGATCATAGAAAATTATGTCAGATTTTTATGTCCCAATAGTATTGCTCTAAAATTTTTAGGGTAATTCAGTGATCAAGTCTATCTTCTCACAAGCATGAGGTTTTAGGTTTAATATTTTTTACATCCCTTAAAAGGTCAATTACACTTGTTCCTCAAAAAAACATGTTTTTAAACTAGCTTGAGTCATAATAATTGGCTCAGAGTTCGAGGAATAGTTGACGTAAACCCAAACACACTATTGCAAAAGAAAAAAAAAATTTGTAATAAGTTACATTACATGAAATCTTTAAAGATAGTTCAGTGGTCGAATTTTATTTTTGATAAATCAAAAGTTTTAGATTTAATACTTCTTATACCCCTAAGGGTCAACCACCCTTATTTCTTATAGGACATGTTACGGTGATCAATATCTGAACTCAAGAAAATAATCAACACAAGCTTAGGCACCGGTGACCAAAAAAAAAAAGTTACGTGAACAACATACGCTGGGTATATTCGTCACCAAATTGTATATGCCACTGCCACCATTTGAAAAAATCCAAGCATGAATATGAAATCAAACGTTGAACGTAAACCAAGTATATTCTTTTGCCAGTTTACCTTCTGCCGGACTTTGGAACCGCCGGACACTGCAAGCAACCTCTGCAATGGAGCCGTAACCAACAGTATCTTCTTCTCTTAATGCTCACGTCTCCCTCATGTATACGAATGCATGCAAGAAAATCCACTTACCAAGTAATCATTTTCTTTACACAAAAGTCATTGAGGAAAACAAATCTCAGACATCGTCAACACATGATTTATTAAGTTCATACATGTACTATTTCAAAATTAAAGACACTGTTTAAATGAAGTAATGTTGTAAATGGGTCGAGTTGTTCATAAATAACTTGGGATCGGTTTGAACTAATGATTTTGTTTAAAAAAGATAACGTTGGGTAAACAGTTACGCACAAGCCTTGCTTAGCAACAAAAGAACCATATTAAAACACGCTTTCTAGTTGATGGTAATGAAGCCATGATGATGCATAAATTGCTTCGTGTTTATTACACTTAATTCTCGTGTTTGTCATAATCAAACATATCGACAAATTTCAGATTTTCCAGCCTTGGAATAATTCACAACTTAAAATAATAAGGTTAGCATTGATTAAGAATACTAAATAGAATGCAGGAATTGTTTACATGTTTCAAGAATCTATAAAAAATTTGGAAATTTTCTTAATTTAGGATGCATGGAACTAATTTTAATGAAAATATCATAATAGAGTCCATAATTTCAGGAAAAATCTAAGAGCTTTGTTACTATGTTTTTCAATTATTACTTTTTTCCTCTTGATCTTTTTTATTTAGTCAAAGAATTATTGATTATCATTTTCTAATGATAACCTTATTTTTCTGTCAATGAAAGCCATTTGATTAGTTAGTAGAAAATATAGTCTAACTACTGTCTAAGAGTGCATCTACCACGATGCAGTGTGCAATCATAAATGGCAAAAGTGAAAACAAGCCTAAGGACCCTTCAGATAACTTGAATGGAAAGGACTCAAGAATGTAGTACCTTGACATGACATCCAAAGTCCCGACTTACAGTCTACGTATACGTGCTTAGTTTGCGGTTGATTACACATATCTAAGGTCTGTGTTGGATTCATAAGTCCAAAAATGTGGTGGTGGGATAAGCTCTTTGTTTACAGTGAGAACAGTTACAATGATTCGATTATGGTATAATCAGATTCTCAAAACTGTTGATGGACAGTGAAGTAATGATCATTCCTTACAATGTAAGTGCTGCAATTAAGATGAGGCAATAAGTAGAAAACAACTTCTCACATTCTATTCCTCAGTGTCCAAAAGTGCCTTTGAAACGTCTGGCTCGTAGCCTTCCCTCTTTGCTTGTTCTGTGATCTTACCAAGCATCTCGTAGATCAAAGATGCATGCTTGTGAGTCATGTCACCAGAAAGAAAATCGTGAATGATTCCATCTAATTGAACCCAACTTCGACCTGGAGGCTTCCTCACACCCATCTGAACCATATTTTTTCTCACATTGGCAACATCCTGCCACATATTGGCGGTTGCATATACATTGGACAAGAGCAAAAAGTAGCCAGCAGCCCGATCGGGGTCAACCTCCATGGCCAACTTTTGAGCCACATGGGAGGCAAGCTCCACATTCTTGTGAATCCTACAACCACTAAGGAGAGCACCCCACACTGCATCATTTGGCTTCACGGGCATTGTCTCAACAAGGCCATAAGCTTCATCCAAAAATCCAGCACGACTCAGGAGATCAACCATGCAGCCGTAATGCTCAATCATGGGATCAATTCCCCATGTTTGTCTCATGTTCTTGAAGAAAAATCGTCCCTCATCAACAAAGCCAGAATGGCTGCAGGCACATAAAACCCCAATGAAAGTTATCTCATCAGGCCTGACATCATTGTCTCCCGATCTTTGCATCCACCGAAACATCCTTAGAGCATCTTCTCCACGTCCCTGTTTCGCAAAAGCTGTGATCATGCTCGTCCAAGAAACAGTACTTCTGCGAGGCATTCTTCTGAATATTTCATAAGCTTCCTCAATTTCTCCACAGTTGGCATACATATGAATGAGTGCATTGTTCAGTGATACTAAAAGTGGCTGGCCATTAATATCAGTGTAAGAATGGATCCACCTACCAACTTTCAAGTCGCCCAATTCAGCACACGCTGACAATGCAGCCACCAACGTGACCTGGTCCAATTCCACGCGTGCCCTTTGCATCTCACGAAACAACGACAACGCTTGCTTACAACGCCCATTTTGCGCACATCCAGCAATCATGGTAGTCCATGAAACAACATTCCTCTCTGGCATCTCATCAAAAATCCTGCGTGCTCCATCAACATCCCCACACCTAAAAGTCACTGAAAGCAACGAATTCCAAGTCACAACATTTCTCTCAGCCATTTCACCAAACACACGATGCGCGCTCCCAACACCTTCCTTCCCACCAAGCATTGCATATAAATTCAACAAATTAGTCCTTACAAACACGTTTGAGTAACACCCATTTGACAATACTCTCCCATGTACCTGCTCTCCCTCTCTCAACAACCCTGCTCTCACGCAAGCATTGATAACAAAAGAATAGGTATACCCGTCCGGCTCAACATGGGCCGCTACCATTTCATTGTAAAGCTCAATCGATTTATCTGCTTTTTCGCTCAAAGCATGGCCTCTGATAATTTGATTCCAAAGAGTGGTACTTCGATTTTCAACTTGTTGGAAAACTTGATGGGCATGTTCGAGATAATTAGAAGTAATGTAGAAAGATGCGAGCTTGACAAGGATGAAACTTTTCTGAGCAAAGCCATTAATGACTATCTGGGTATGGATTTGAGTGAGTTTTCTGACGGTATTGCAATTTTGCAATAGAGAAAAGAGGTGTTGTTGTAGAGTTCTGATATTCGTTCGATTAGCGGGAAAGGTTTCCTCAACTAACATTCAAAACGTTTGTTAGGAGTAACGAAACTATGAAAGTAATTGGGTCCTGGAAATTGGAATTGCCAAGGGTACAATACAACGAAGTTCCAATGGAAGAATATAAGATTAATTTTCAAAATGAACTCAAAATAATAATATAACTTTTACTAAATAAATTAGATTAATATTAAACTAAAATAATTCGAATTAAATACAATAAACCTACTTCACAATTATTGTTTACAAAATGTCTGACTTTTTAAAATTTTTTCTTTCTTTAGTTTAGGAGGTATTCTATAAATTTTTGCAGAATTAGAGGATGTTTATTTGGTTTTGCTTGCATAAAGTTCATTAGACTTTTAGTGTTATGTGAAACCTAGGATGAGGATGGTGGGTTTGGTTAGAGGAAAATTAGGTTTAATTTTAAATTTCTACTTCTCAATTTATACTTGTTAATTCAAATTTAATATTATTAATGGATAACCCTACGATACCAACAATTTATTAAAATTTTTTTTTTTAAGGTCAAGTTATATTTTTTAAAAGTACAATTATAACCACTTTGAGTTAATATATGATCGACCATGAAATATTTTAATCATTCATAAATAACTATAATCAATTATAACTTCGCATTTAAAAATGTAATTTAAACTTTAAAATTTATAATTTTATCATTAAAACTTATAACTTTCATGATCTATAATCGGTCATATTTTTTATAATTGTAATTTTAGAGTATAAAAAATTATAACTTTCACATTATTAGTAAACATACGGAGAATTAATTTTTAGAGGTAATTTAGTGGTTGAGTCTGACATTTGATAAGTTAGAAGATCAATTTCTTTTCACACCCTTTAAAAGCTTAACCACATTTATTTCTCAAGAATATGCTCTATTTTAGTTCATGTCACGGCAATTGTCCTTGAGTTTAAAAGAATTATCAGTTTAAATCTAGAAACTTTGAAAAAAAAAAAATAGGCATGTAAAGTATCTAAATACCATACATTCCGGAGAATCTAAATACCATACAAACCTGGTATGAGATTGACGGCTCAAAAGAGAAGAAACTTATTATGAACTCATACAGTCATACTCCTTTACCTTAAGCTATATTGTTTCGTTAGTTACAATTTGTTTTTTTGGGAGGAAGAGGGATAGAAGGGAGTTGAACTTTGGTCTCAAGAAAGTCTTCACAAAATAAAGAATTTCAGTGGACCAAAGCCCGCCGGTAATGCCTTAGTTACAATGAACCAAGGATCTACCTGTAAAATTGGAATTCCATTTTTAATCACTAATTTTGTAGGTTCAAAGCAAAATAAAGGGAAAGGGAGCGGATCATCTCTCATTCTGGTGGCACTAAATCTTTGTAATATCCAATGATGTTCTCTACATTGTCTGACACAGATGAGATTCTTGAAAAAGTTCCCTTCAATTCATTTCCAGACAAAGGTGACCAGACTATTTGCAAACATGGAACATTTCTGTGTCCATTTCCGTACCCACCTCGAACCACCAAAAGCAAACCAGACCCTTCAAAGATACCTCAAGTCCAAATCCACCATCAAGGCTCTTTTGTTTTTCAGGGACTTGATGAGAGAAAACACTTCCTTAATTGATAGCTACTCTCTCCTGTTTGTCATCAAAGCTTGTACCCAAAAATCTTTAGCCCCTGAAGGAAAACAAATTCATGCTGTTGTTGTGAAATTTGGCTGTGAACCCATCATTTTTCTCCAGTCATCACTGGTCAATATGTATTCTGCGACGGGTAATCTCGGTGATGCACATTTTTTGTTCGACGAAATGCCCAACAAGAATGTTGTTTGTTGGACCGCATTGATATTAGCTTATGTAAACAACCAGAAACCAAACAAAGCTCTTGAGCTGTTCAGGCAGATGCAGATGGCTAATGTGGAGCCTGATCAAGTTACTGTCACGGTTGCTTTAACTGCATGTGCTGATCTTGGGGCATTGGATATGGGAGAATGGATACATGCTTATATTAGTCAGAGGAAAGAGCTTAATACAGATCTGTGCTTAAACAATGCTCTCATAAACATGTATGCGAAATGTGGGGATATTGCGACTGCCAAGAGGTTGTTTCATAATATAAAGAAGAAAGATGTCACTACTTGGACATCTATGATTGTGGGGCATGCACTACATGGACAAGCTGAAGCAGCACTTGAACTTTTTGCAGCCATGAAAGGAGAAAACACTAGCAGGATAAGAAGAAAGAGAAAAGGCGGTTCACGGGTTAATTTAGTTGATCCTAATGATGTTACCTTTATTGGGGTTTTAATGGCTTGTAGTCATGCAGGGATGGTAGAAGAAGGGAAGAGGCATTTCAAAAGCATGATTGAGGATTATGGATTGAAGCCTAGACTGCCTCACTTTGGCTGCATGGTGGATCTTTTATGTCGAGCAGGCGAATTGAAAGAAGTCTATAAGTTCATCTTGGGACTGCCGGTCCAACCTAATTCAGTGGTGTGGAGGACGTTGCTAGGTGCGTGTAGTGTCCATGGGAATGTTGAACTTGCTGCAGAGGCTCGTCGCCATCTGCTTGAATCTGAGGATAGCCTTGCTGGTGATGATGTTGTTATGTCCAATATTTATGCTTCAAGAGGCATGTGGGATGAGAAGGTAATAATCAGAGATGAGATAAAGCAGAGGAGGGATCCTGGTTGCAGTTCAATTGAGGTGGGAAGCTGCATATATGAGTTTGTCAATGCAGATGATGATCATCTCTTGGCAAATGAGATTTATGTGGTTCTTAATCAATTAATTAAACATATGAGAGGTTACAGTTATGCTTTGAGAACTTTGGAGCCCTCGCAGTACTAGGTCCAAGGATAGTCCTACCTAAGAACAACTTGAGTCACAGCCAAGTACCAACTTCAGTCTTTTGTGCCCCAAGAAAGAGACCTTCATGGGACGCTGGGCGCTGCCGAACCACAGGACTTGGGGTGTGTGTGGATAACATTTGATTATGAAACTGGTGATCTTAGTGAATCACCCACTGAAAATCAAGGAAAGCAGATTGAAATTCATTAATGTTGTTTGGAATTTGTCTGTCCATTTTTAAATTTTAAGAGCAGGCAGCTATCAACTCAAACTTCAATTGATTAAGCGTTCCGAAGAACAAATAACCAATTTTGATTTAAATTAAACATTGATGTGGAGAAATCCCAGTGCTTGCTAACCATCTGATCATTCAACTTAGCACATTTCAGATAATATATAATAGGTTCATGTATATTCCATAGTTATTAAGAAGAGTAAGAGGATATTGGATCACCTTGTCTTTACCCTCTAGCCCCAAGAAAATGTTCTTCAAGAACAACATTAGTTGCAACCGAAAACTTTGGATTTTGACTACAAGTTTTAATACACCTGATCACTAGCCGTAGGAAATTCAATTCAAATTTCCAACCGTCCTAGGAGACAGAAGCTAACATGTTAGACCTAAGGAAAGTAACAGTTTGTTATTCTATACAATTTTAACGTGTACAAAGAGCCAGTAATGGGGCTGCACATTGGGTTGCTGCCACTAAAAAAGAGGGTTTTCTTCTTTGAGAACTGTTTTAGTTGCCCAACTCCATAGCTAACCACAATTAGAACCATTTTAAAAAAAAATTATAGAACACCAGCATAATAGATTGAAGTGTAATCCACTAAAGAATAGTTGTACAATCATAACAATTATACACTCATAATAGTTGTCGATACTATGTGTCAATAATGACGAGATATCACCGATGCATTAAATATTTTCTCAAAACCCACGCCCCTAAAATCCCGAAGCCACCCTTCTCAACCCTTATCCCATTCTAAAATCAGCCCTTTCCTCTACCCCTGCAAACAACCTACCACTACCCCATACTCAGTTGATGCAAAGCTCCTTACTCTTCCACTATGCCCAAACACATTATATCCATCTTGGCTATAATTTATCCAAATGAACCAGACAAGCAACAAATACTCCTTTTTAGGTTTGCGAAGTCAGCCACTGTTTCTCTCTCCACACACACAAACAACAGCCACTCGAACACATCGGCACACATAAGCATTAAGCAGGTCTACATTGTCATTCTTACAGTGACACCACTGTTGCCGGTACATTACACCTAGGACATCCGCTTGGGCTCTATTCCTAATTCTATTAACGTTCGATTAGGCTCATATCATTCTCTATAGAATCGACTCCTACAAATACCATGAAAGAATTCTAGTATCGCAGACTCTGGTGGTGACAACGTTAACAAAACCATACTACGTCATCACCATATAAGACAAATGAATCTCACCACATTCTATAACTACCAATAACTTTCATATTCAATAATTACCATATGGGGTTCAAGTGTCCTACTTATTTGTTTATTATTGGCCGATGACACCATGTTGACATCGTGCAAATATTACATTAAATATATACCAAGGGAGAGAGAGAGAGAGGGAAATACGCGTTGTAATTAGGGGGTGGGTAGGAATGTTAATCCATTCGAGTTTTGCGAGTTTGAATTCGAGTCTGTTGAGCTCGTTTTTTTTAAATAACTCTACAAAATTTTCAATCTCGGTTTGTTTAGAAATGAGTCGAGTCCGAGTCTGAACTAAACTTGAGCCGAGCCCGAGTAATTCGACTATTTGACAAATAAAAGAACTGAGTCTTTTAGACATGTTTTTCTAAATGAGTCTAAAAAATTATACAAGGTCAATTCGATTAGAATACAAGTCGAGTTCGAACAAAATCTTATCCGAGTTGAGCCTAAGTAGCTCGTCTTAATAAACACCCTTAGGGTTGGGGGAGGGAAAGTGAGTGGGAGGGGAAATAAGAGTTGAAATTTGGGTCGAGTATATTTTGGATTCGGGTAGAGTTTTGGAATTTTATTCAGGTTTAGGTTAAATTGTGTTTTATGTTATTTTTATAAAAGGGTAAAAATGATATTTTATGTCTTCCATCAAGTCTCTATGTGGACGTTACTCACATGGACGCAAGTATTAGTTTTTATGGTTGAAGGATGAGTTTATTTTGTCGATAAAAAAGGTATTAAGGGGTGGAATATATGTTTTTTTCGGTCTATGTAGTATTGCTCAAGAATAAAATAGTACTTGGGTTCACTTATATCTGAGATCATGTACATGTGCGTTGCACATGGACCATTTTGAGTATAAGATATTGTCAATTATTGCGTAACGATAATCAAATGTTTAGTTATTTAGATATTCATAAAATAAACGGTCATTTACTTGTGCACTCAGAAATTAAAAAGCAGCCTAAGTATTTTGTTCTTGGAATTAACGAAGATGAAAAACTAAAAATCAGAGCTTTTTTTAATGACACGCTCTCAATATTGATTTTCAAAAAGAGAATTTTGGGTCCTCAAAAAACACATTTTCACTTGGATTTTGGTTCTTCAATATAAAGGCAATGAGGAAAACTTATTTTTCCAAGTGTCTAGTAGTTAGAACACACTGTATCACCCATGCTTGGAGAAGTTAGATTCTCACTTCACAAGTCGCTCTTAGTAATACATGATACCTAATATAAACAGTTTAATCATTGCAATCTATGAATTGATGTACATGTTTTGTGTGCTTGCTAATAAGTGTTTTTGTCCCAATAATTGGGTACTCGAGCTGCCTTGCTTTAAGTTTGGTGAGGATAAAAGACTTTATCACCTTGGATCATTGTTTAAAATATCTTATACTGAATACTCCAATTGCATCCACCCAAAAAAAGGGACAAATAAAAAAAATACAATTAAACACTAAGGATTAAGGAGCCCTACGCAAGCATAAGCGATAAATTATAAATCGAATATTAATATCGAGGCATAAGTACTAAATTATATTCTCATATTTTGGAGATAGAGCTACAATAATTGTATGTGCAAATGAATAAACAATGATTATAAGAGCTTAACACTTCATTTCTAGGAACTCCCAATGCTAAAGGACCTCTACAATTATTCCACTACTCTGAATAGAAAGGTAGAACGGTTCATAAGCATTAAGCATGATGAATTCCCCAAAGTAATGGCCTCACAATAGTCATTATTAAACCCTCATACCCTTGCTTACCTTCTTTATAGCAACAACCTAGACATTGGATAGACATATCCAATAATATGCAGATACGTGTTATCGGAATTTAAATGTAAACTCAAGTAATTCTTATTTAGCACCAAAAAAAGAATTCCCATCATCCAAATTGGATAATAATTGAGACTCTTGAGTGATTTCAAGCCATAAGTTTCTTTAACCTTGACACTACAAATAACATTAATCGATAAGTAAATGTATTTGACATTTTCTTTGAGGAAGATCAGCTCTAACACAATCAAGGCACTCATTTGGACTTATTGTCTAATCAAACATATTACTATCAAGATGGAAGCCAAGAGAATCCTAAGATTAGAAGAGTCCAGCTGAATCTTGCTAGTACATATTTTATACGTGTAATTATTATTTATATGCTGCTCATCTAGCATCTCCTTGATTGAAGGAGTACTGAAAACGTTTGAATTTGCTCTTAACGTTAGTGCGAAGAAAAAAAAGATAAAAATTTAAAGATACAACCGTCTACCACATGACATTAAAGAAATTCATCAACATTTATATAATCAAGTCCTTGAAATATTTATGTCCTTTTTTTTTTACTGTCTATCTACAAAGAATAAGGAGAGGAAGAGAGAGAGAGATACTAATTCATATGCTACCTCTATACAAGTCATCCACTTTTCCAATAGCACCAAAAAAAAAACTATCCATGATGAGGATTCTACAAACAATTTAAGTTGAGGGTTAAACTTTTGCCAATAATTTCAATTCTACCAACAATTTTTGGGAAAGGAAACAATAATGAAGGAAGTACCACCAGAGAAAACCTTTAAACATATACACTTTGCAAATTAGTTTGCTCGATCAGAGGGTATGAATGAATTGTGATGAGGGAGATTTTACATCAAATGAGTTTGGATTCTAGAAACATGGAAAGAGAATAACTAAAATGGTTCCCAACCTTCTAATCTATTGCTTAAACCCAACCGGTGCATATACAATTGTGATGGAGAGAATATGAAAAGCTAAATGTTGTCATTATTTACATCATGAAATGTATTATTGGAAATCAAAGGTTTCCTATCAACACTTGTTGCAACTTTCAACTTTCACAACTGACAACATAGAGAAAGTCTACAACAATTACTATTGCCTCATTAATGCAAAAAAGAGAGATTGTAGAATTATATTTGGTAAAATAGAAAAAGAGTTATGTAGATAATTGTTCATCAAAGAGTTATGTAGAAAAACAGTTATATATGAATATATTTATTTATCAAAGAGTTATGTAGATAATTAATTGAAGAAGATAAGAGGTTGAGTGAATTATGTAATTAATTGAAAAAGATGATAGAAAGATTGATCACAAGAATTAGTTGGTTTGTTAAGGATATTATAGTCAAATAAAAATTTTTCACTTTTGTTGACATTTTATAGTAGTATAGATTTGTGTCATTATAAGTCTAATACAAAAATTTAAAAATTATATCGGCTCAATACTACAGTGCAAATATACCCATATAAGAGGGTTTAAGTAATATCACTCAGGGTAGTATAATAATGAGGTAATAAACCAACACATAATATTACAAGGCTAAATTACAATATTATCTCTTTCATTCAATGCCTATGTTTTACACCAATGCAAGGGTATTAAAGTCACTCGACACCAAATAGTATTTTTTTTTTTTTATTGCGGGAACTATAGGAAATATAAATTACCATATTACTTTTTTTAATACCTAATGATATAAATAAATGTGAAGGACATTCAAGTTAATTTAAAATATAATTATTATATTTTGTGGGATTCACATGCTTTGTAAAAAATTTACATAGAACGGAAAAAGATAGTCAATTATGCCTATCAAACCCAAGAGGCTAGAATGGATCGAAGTGAATACTCCAATCCGATCCAACTAATTCCTTAAAATAGATTGGGTGTAAATGTAATTTACCTTAAATTTCAATAAGCCCTCGTCATTAACAAAAACTAATGAAACTCAACCCACACAATAAAAAACTATTGAGGTACGAATAATTGTCGTCAACGCACAAGTTTAGATTTCGGTGAAAACTGTCGACTGTGAGCTGTAATTCAGTTCCGTATCTCATTCAATTATCGAGCACCACCACCGCCAGCCCCACCGTCACGCAGTCCATTTTAACCAGATCTAAAACTTCAAGAATCCACACTACACCGTAACAAACAGTCACTCTTCATCTTACTCCCGTTTCTTTTAGTTACCCAGTTGTTTCTTCTGCATTTCAAACAATTCTAAATGACACCCAGATGAAGATTCTGCAGATATGAAGAGGCTCAACAGGAACACCAACGATCCACCACAGCCGTCGGATCGTGAGAATGACACCCTTTCCCGGGCTCCAGACGTGAAATGTGGGATGAACCCAATCAAACTGATGGGGATTTTCGTTTTTTGTTTGATGGGTCTTTCTGTTCTCTTCTCAATATCGGTGATTCTCAGAGACCCATCTTCTTCGGATAGCCTTTGGGCAGTTGCTGAAGCTAGGGTTCTTGAAGTGAAGCCTCAAAAAGGTACTTCGTTTTGGATTATTTGTTGTAGCTTAATTAATGGATTTTGTTATTTGCTTTCATTTAAGGGAATTTTGTTGATATTTGTTCCTGTCCTACGAAAGTTTAATTCTGAAACTTATTTAAAATCATGGGACTTTAGAACATTGTTAAATCTGTTGGTAATTCCAAATAGACTACGGTCAATCTGTTCAAAATTATGGAGAGAGTTTTGGGTGTTGTTGGTTAAAGCACTTTGGAATGGCGATGCAAAGTTTGCTGATAGTTGGAATTATTCACCGCTGGTTGTTGAAACAAGGTCTAGAAAGAACCTGTTAAAGAAAAGGAGAAGATGAGAAAATGAAGGAAAACATATTAATAATGCTATTTGCAAGGGTCAAAATTTCGTTTCGATGCATTGTTTCGGTCGCCTAAGAAATGGAAACGTTTCAATAAGTTTTGGAAACGTTTCTACCGTTTCGAAAATATAGTAAAAAAAAATAAAAAGTTTAAAAATTATTTTTTCAAAATATTGGTCAAAATATACCAAAATATCTTGAAATATTCTGAAATAACATTGAATTATAACAAAACATTTCGAAATATTATGGAACATTTCAAACTATTAGAATTTCGATTCCATCACTAATTCGTTTCGGTCTACTTAGAAACGGATATGTTTCAGATGTTTCGACTGTTTCGAAGCGATATTTTAATTCTCGGCAATTTGAACCTAATAGTTGTGATGCATTGCCCTCTCTAATTGACATTGTTTCAGCTCAGATGACTGTAGATGCTTAAATAGTAATTCGTATTGCTCTAGTGGATCATTGGACTGCCAAGGTGCGAAACCTGTTGTTTTGCTCGATCATTTTTTTTTATTATTATTTTTTTATATATTTTTTTTTAGGGAGGGGAGGGGACTTGAACATTTGATCTTGTTGGAGCAAACTAAGAATTAACAGAGAAAGAGAAGAATATTTCAATGTAATATTTTTTTATTAACTGCAAATGTGCTTAAATACAACTAAAAAAAAAACAGAAATTCATATATTCCAGCTCAACCATGGAACATGCCTCCATGTTTAACAATTTAGCTAGAAAAATAGAAATGATGACTGAAATGCAGTAGAACAAGTCAATAAATAAAAAACATAACAGAAAACGAAAAATTACAGCAACTAAATAGGAAATGCAGTAGCTAAGTCAACTTCTTAACACTTCTCCTTGGCTTTGATGCTGCAAACTCCAAGTTTTTCCCTTAAAAACTCAAATTTGCTTCTTACCAAAGGTTTGGTGAAGATGTCTGCAACATTATCATCAGTTTTACAATATTTCAGAACAACAGAACCTTCTTTCTGCACATCTCTAAGAAAAAACAATTTGATATTAAAGTGCTTCGTTTTTCCATGAAAAACGGGATTGTTTGAGATAGCTATTGCTGTTTGATTATCCACAAACACATCTGTGCCTTCATTTTGCTTCAGGTTTAGATCAAATAACACCTTTCTAAGCCATAAAGCTTGATTTGCAGCAGCTGTAGCTTCAATAAACTCTGCCTCCGCAGTTGATTGTGCAACAACTTCTTGTTTTTTACAACACCAAGAGAACATTCCTGACCCCAGATTAAAACAATAACCTGAAGTACTCTTCATATCATCAGAACCACCATGATCACTATCAGTATAGCCCTGCAGAACATGAATCTGACTGGCACAGAACTTGATTCCATGCTTCAATGTTCCTTTCACATATCTTAGAACTCTTTTAGCAGCAGAAAAATGAGTTTCAGTAGCACAATTCGTAAATCTAGATAGCAGACTCACAGAATGTAAGATGTCAGGTCTTGTGGCTGTTAAATACATCAAACAACCCACTAGACTTCTGTAAAGAGTTTCATCAACCTTTTCCGCTGCATCTTCCTTGCTGAGCTTTTCATTTTCACCCATAGAAGTTGTAGCAATCTTGCACTCATCTATTCTGAATTTCTTCAGAATTTCTTTAGCATATTTGGTTTGGCAAATGAACACCTCTTTCTCCTTTTGTTGAACCTCCATTCCAAGAAAATATGCCATTTCCCCCAAGTCAGTCATCTCAAAGGTCTGTTGCATATCTTTCTTGAATTTATTCACAAGTTCCAAGTTGTTTCCTGTAACAAGTAAGTCATCCACATACAGAGAAACAACAACAAAATTGATCTCATCACCTTTGATGTAGAGGGTAGCCTCATTGAGACTTTTTTTGAATCCCAGTTGCATCAAATGCTCATCAATTCTGCTATACCAGGCCCTTGGTGCCAGCTTCAGGCCGTATAGAGCTTTTTTGAGCAAATACACATCTTCTTCTTGCTCTTTCACAACAAATCCCTCAGGTTGTTCTACGTAGATCTCCTCATCAATAAGACCATTTAGAAATGCTGACTTGACATCTAACTGGTACACTTTCCAACCCTTTTGAGCAGCAATGGCCAGCAGCAACCTGATTGTTTCAATTCTGGCAACAGGAGCAAATGTGTCAGAAAAATCAACACCAGGGATTTGAGCATAACCTTTCACAACAAGCCTTGCTTTATGCTTGTTTATAGAGCCATCTCCATTCAGCTTTGTTCTAAATACCCACTTCACTCCAATCACCTTTCTGTCATCAGGTCTTTTTACCAGCTGCCACGTTTTATTTTTCTCAATCATGCTCAACTCCTCCTTCATTGCAGCTACCCATTTTGGATCTCTTTCTGCCTCCTGAAGATTTTCTGGTTCCAGGACTGCAATGTTGCACTTCTGATAGATTTCAGAAAGTGATCTTGTACCTCTGATAGGTTCATCATCAACCAAATCAGATTCGGACAGCTCTAGCAACTTTGAATCTTGACTTGGAATTTTACCAGCCTGATCTCCTCTCCAATTCCATTTAGCATCTTCTATAAAATGCACATCTCTGCTTATCAGAATTTTTCTTGTATCAGGTTGAAAAACTCTATAAGCCTTTGAAACTAAGCTGTATCCCACAAAGATTCCAGCTTCAGCTTTTCTGTCGAGCTTGTCTCTTTTAATCTGAGGCACATAAGTGAAACACAAGCTGCCAAACACTTTTAAATTCTTTAAAGAAGGTTTGTAACCATACCAAGCCTCAAAAGGTGTCCTCCCATCAACTGCCTTTGTAGGAAGTCTGTTTAGCAGAAACACAGAAGTGTTAGCAGCCTCTACCCAGTACTCTTTTGGCAACTCCTTCTCATGAAGCAAGCACCTGGCCATCTCCATCACTGTACGATTTTTACGTTCACTGACTCCATTTTGCTGAGGAGTATATGGAGCAGTGAGTTGATGTTCAGATCTCAAGAAGGGAAAATATTCACAAGGTAAGAGTACTATTAGACCAAAAGTCTGTTGATATTTTGCTCGATCATAGCTTGACCATGAAGAGACAGAAAATTCTTTTTGTTTATTTGCACTATATTGGACAAGTTAAGCTAAGCTGACGTGCAACAGACATAGGGAATCAAGAATTATGCTGCTTATGGTCAATTTTGTGGTAGGTTATAGAGAGCTTATATAATTGGGGCCTCCATATGCAGCAGAATTGTGAGCATTATGCCATTATGTATGGAAAAGACTGAGATCTATGTGTTGGAGATGTTTGCTTGCAGGAACTTTCGTTGTAAGTTGTATGAACATTCTGGAAATGTAGGTGCTCTATGTTAACAAATAGGTCAATAATCCATGGTGAAGGTAGGTTTCGGTCTGATAAATTGATGAAAGATGGCTGCTTTTGTGCTGTGATTGCCACTGATGAAAAATAGCGAAGGATTGGTTGACAGTTCTTTGGTTGCCAGGGTTTGAGTATTAGATTGGGGGGAGGGCGCTTATAAAATTACTTTTTTTTAGGACTGAGACAGCTCAAAATCTAGTAAGTTAACTCTCTTTAAATCAAGAGATTATGTATACCTTCATAGGCTGTTGTACTTCCTCATCATCAGAGCCAAGACTCCAAGTACTAGAAAATTTAACTCTGGACTTTTAAGTCTATTTTAGACCATTGGAGGCCCATATTTGAAGCAAAAAACGTAGTTTGGTCTAAAATACCGATGAATCACTTATGTCGTGCTTGTTCAGCAAATCTAGAAATCTTAAAATGCCATCAACTCTTTAACAAAATTATCTATATAATAAAACAGGATTGTGTTTAAATTTTATCTCAGTCATATTTTTCCCCTCAAAACCATCACCAATCACTTACCTCATCTATCATTCCTTTATTAGACTCAAACGTCAAATCGCATCACTTATTTCTATCATACGTTTAATCATTTATATATTTCTTCCCTAAAAACATCACATCATTCATTTTATCATATATTTAATTATTTAATATTTAATTAATTTGTAGTTAATATATTTTTAAAAAAATTAATATAATGGGATCGATTTTTTGGACGCTCGAATTTTATATATTTGAAGGCACGGGTTATGACTAGTCTATACATATCTTAGACCAGTAGTTAACTAAGTTGAAATAAACATAAACAACAATCCTAAACTACCCTGGACACTTTATTTTATAACAAAAGAGCTTCCCATACTCCTTTGCTTTAGGCTTTCAAGCGTGTGATGATTATTCATCCAATCAACAGGTCTGATAATATATTAGGTTTCTGTGATTGAATGTCCATAACAATTTTGGATGAAAGCCTTGCAAATAAGTGCTTCTCAAATGAATTAGCAATTTTTAGTGTCACCACAGCTGGCTGATTTTCTCATTTCGTTCTTCACAAAGAATGTATATGCAACCATAGTAAACATACAATTGAAAGGTGATGGCCTATCTCTCTTTCTTTTCTTTTTTTTTTTCAAAAAAAGCTTTGCCTTCTCTGGACAAGGTTCCAAATGGTTAAATTTTGTCTCTTTTTTGGGTGAGAGCTTCAGATGACTTCACATTTTCCCTACTGTTTTCTTTGCACAAGAGACTAATATGAGCCATTTATTTCATCCATTTTATACTTGGTGGCATCAACTGACAGATTTTATGTTTCACTTCCATTTTGCTGTTGAACTAGTATAAAAGAAGTACAGGCAGTTATCAGAATAGTTTTGGTGTATTCTTCTTTATGCCACTTTGTTTGTTGTATATTTGTCTTGCTGCTAGTAAATTTATCAAAATTCGTCATTTTTGCCAGCCATCTTGTTGATGCTGTGGTATCTCCTACAGTACTACTCTTTACTTCTTGGACTTCTTGCCTTCACTAATCTCTTTATTGTCTTCTATTTTATTCCACTGGCCCTTCATAGGTTTAGAAGAAGATGATTTTCCTCAGCCCGTTGAGGTGCCTAAAGATAAACTACTTGGTGGCCTTCTTCCTGCTGGGTTTGACGAGAGGTCTTGTCTCAGTAGGTATCAGTCAGTTTTGTATCGTAAAGAACTACCACACAAACCTTCTTCTTACCTCATATCGAAGTTAAGAAGCTACGAAGTCCTTCATAAACGATGTGGACCCCATACAGAATCTTACAATAAAACCTTGGAACAACTCCAGTCTGGCCAACGTGCCAGTCCCTCAGATTGTAACTATTTGGTCTGGATGTCCTTTAGTGGTTTAGGAAACAGGATACTGACTTTAGCTTCAGCATTTCTTTATGCTGTCCTTACAAATCGAGTTCTGCTTGTTGAACGTGGAGTTGACATGCCCGATCTCTTCTGTGAACCATTTTTGGGTGTTTCCTGGTTACTGCCCTCAGACTTCCCCATCACTGATCAGTTTAACAGCTTTGATCAGAAATCTCTGCATTGTTATGGGAACATGCTGAAGAAGAACATTGTAGGTAATTCAACTGGGTTTGCGCCACTGCCTTTTGTCTATCTCCATCTCGTCCATGATTATGATGATCAAGATAAGCTTTTCTTCTGTGATCAAGATCAATCTTATTTTCAGAAAATTCCTTGGTTGATTATGAAATCAGATAACTACTTTATTCCATCACTTTTCCTGATCCCATCTTTTGAGCAAGAACTCAATAATCTCTTCCCAGAAAAAGAAACGGTTTTCTACTTCTTGGGCAGGTATCTCCTCCACCCAACCAATCCTGTTTGGGGGCTTGTTACCAGGTACTATGAAGCTTATTTAGCTAAAGCAGATGAAATATTAGGAATCCAGATCAGAGTCTTTGATACAGAACCTGGTCCTTTCCAACATGTGTTAGATCAGATTTTAGCTTGTACCATGAAGGAGAATCTGCTACCAAAAATCAACCAGAATGAACCTATCATCGACCCATCTGGAAATCAGAAGACTAAAGCTGTGCTGATGACGTCTTTAAGCTCTGGGTACTTTGAGAAATTAAGGGACCTTTACTGGGAACATCCAACCGTGACAGGGGAGGTAATTGGAGTTTACCAGCCAAGTCATGAAGGGTATCAACAAACTGAGAAGCAAATGCACAACAGGAAGGCATGGGCAGAAATGTATCTATTGAGCTTGACTGATAAGTTGGTTACCAGTTCATGGTCAACTTTTGGGTATGTGGCTCAGGGTCTTGGAGGATTGAAACCATGGATTCTTTACAAGCCTGAAAATCGGACAGCACCCAACCCACCTTGTCGCCGAGCCATGTCAATGGAGCCTTGTTTCCATGCCCCTCCGTTTTATGACTGCAAAAGGAAAGCAGGGGTTGATACTGGTGAGCTTGTTCCTCATGTGAGGCATTGCGAGGACATGAGTTGGGGTCTCAAACTCATTGACCACGAGAATGAATTATAAGCATGCATCTGTTTTGTTAACTACCATTACTTGTACTTGGCTGTGTAGAATATATAGCTGCTTGGAGTTGGGAGCATCATTATCATATTTGTACTTGAATGTGCATTTGGAAGCTGTATAACTTACCATTTGACTTGTGCTTTGACAGAGCAGGACTATGCATAATGAGAATTAGGGTTGGCAACCGACACAACAATTGACACTAATTTACCAGGTATGAGAGGGGCCGTCTTTGACATTTTAGGACCTAAAACAAAAATAATAAATGAGGTTTTTTTAATATTAATAATAAATTTTAAATAAATTCTTTTTTTATTTTTTGAAATACAAAAATATTAATTAAGTTTTTATATTAAAGGTTTTGTCATCATATTTAAACTTGATGGAGAAAGGGAGAGAGATTGAAAAATTATGATGGTAAGTTTGAATTTGATTTTTCTGGGGCTTTAAAACTTGATTTTTAGTAATTTTAGTTTTACTATTAGCTTTTTTATTTTTGTTTTTAAAAAATTAAATTTTAGGGTCTTTTAATTTCATTGATTGAATTAATAGGTCTAATTTACTCAAGTTAAAATCTTGAAAAATTTGGTGATCGGTTCTATTTTGTGGACTTATTTGGTAATAAGTTCAACAATAAAATTTGTTTAATAGTAAGTCTATTTTGATCTTCATTATGTAAAATACATTCATTAGTTTTATTTAATTACAACAAATTTGAAAATTAACAAATTCTAAATTTTAAGAGTTTGACTAATATATATATATATATATATATATATACCACTTAAACACAAAAAAATAGTAACATTTAAAAATAAAAAAATAGTAACATTAATTAATATTTGAAAAAATAACAGTAGTAACACAGTCAATAAAAAAAAGTATTATTGAATATTAATATTTCAAAAAAAAAAAAGTATCATTCAATATTAATAGTAACATATTCATTAGAAAAATAATAACATGTTCGACAAAAAATAGTAATATTTAATATTAAATTAATTATAGTCTTTTTAGCAAGAAAAAAATAATGAGAGAGAGAGAGAGAAATGGTAGTGACGTCAAATTTAAATTTGAATTTCAGATTTTATGAAAATAAATCTCCCATTAAGTATGAATCAATGATGATTGTTTTGGAAATTATTTAATGTTGAAGATTATTTTTTAAGTCATTAGAAGGACATTTTAGAGTTTTAAAAAAATAGTGAACTTAATCATTTATTAGTAAAATTAAAAATAGACTTGCCTCAAAATAAGCTTTCTTGATGAACTAAACTTATTATAATTCCTTTAAGAAAGTCTTAGTCCCAATTTTTACTAAAATCTTTTGTTTGTGGGGCTATTTTTATGAATTTAGAATTTTTTTTTTGGTTTAGGCTATATTACTATGTACCTAAAAATTATGGAGCCTAAAGCTCAGGTTTTATTGGCTGAGTGGTTAGGCCGGCCTTGAGGTATGAATTTAACCCAAGGATAATGAACAAGTCTACTTGTTGGACCCGGTTAATAAAGGATTTTTTAAGTGTGAGTACATTTTTTTACACTTATTTAAAAGAAAGTATATGAATAAATATTTTATTCCATTAAGTACAATTTTAATAAAACTTTTTGTGATTATGTACAAAATTTAAATGATATTTGAAAATTTTTATTTACTTATCCTTACTTAAATTATGTATAATTTTTATTCTCTCCATCTCTCTCTTTTCCCCTATTTTCTTTCAATCTTTCTCTCTCTCTCTCTCTCTCCTCTCTCCATTACTCTCTCACTATCTCTCTCCTATTTTCTCTCCATCTCTCTCTCCCTCCTTACTTTCCCTATTTCTTTCCTATTTTCTCTCTCTATCTACTATTGATAATTTATTTTCTTTTCAAATATGTAAATATTTGATTTTCCTTTTCGTCTCTCTCTATTTATATTAACATTATATTAACATTACAATAACACAATTACACTAATTAGTTACACCAATCAATTATAATTATCTTATAATATACTAAATAGTTATTTATGCATGACACCAACTCAATTTGTCATTCAGTTGTTTACATAAACTAAATAGTTGCACATTTATTATCGTGACATCATCACATCAATTATATATACCAAATTAGTATAATGGTAAAATATTTTGTTTAATGATAAACCTAATTTGGTGTATATAATTGGTGTAACCATGTTGTGATACTAAATAATGTAACTCTTTGATTTATATAAATAATTGAATGACAAATTGAGTTGGTGTTGTAATTTTGTATAATTGTTTAGTATAACTGTTTAATTTATTAAAACACATGAGTAACTATTTTATATATTAGGATAATTGTAATTAATTGGTGTAACTAATTAGTATAATTGTGTTGTTGTAACGTTGATATAAAAAGAGAGAGAGAAAAAGAAAATAAGGGGAAAAGGAGTGAGAGAGAAAAAATAGGAAAGAGTGTTGAAAAAATTAAATCAAATTTTTTTTTTAAAAAATTATCATTATGAGAGAGAGAGAGATAGATAGAAAGAAAATAGGCAATAGAAAGTGAGAGAGTAATGAAGAGAGAGGAAGTAATAAAGTAATAAATAATTTTTTATGTTCCGTTTGGTAGGAAGGATAAAAAGTAAAGAGAATGAAAAGTAAGAGTGATACATTTTTTATCCTTAAAGGAAGAGAAATAGGAATGATATATTTTACTTCCTTTGTGCTTGGTTGAATGGATGAAAAATAAAAATGACTAATTTTTTTTTTTTAGTGCTAACTAAGATTAAAGTGACAGTCGAGTCGTGTCGTATCAGATTCGTGCCAAGTATTTCGAGTTTGTGTCGAACTTAGTCACACATAACTTAACTCATTTAACTAATTGTGTCGTGTTGAGTTACAAGTTGATCTGTTTATTTTCATGTTCGAGTTAATCAAGTTTGTGTCATAAAATTCATGTCGAGTTCGAGTCATGTCATCGTGTTGAGTTAAAAATTTTCACCCCTTGTTAAGATAAAAAATATTTTTTTAATATATATATATATATATATTTTATTATTGTATTTTTATATAAAATTAATATATACATAATATATGTATATAAAAAAAATATATAGATAATTAATATACATCTCAACACAAATAATTAATTTTTCATCCACTTTCCTTCTGATTTTAGAGGAATTGATTTGAGTTAGTTGAAAGGAAAATTAATTTATCCACTTTTTCATCATTCCTATTTTCCTTCTTTATCAAACATGATATTTTATTTTATCCCTCTAACATTCTATCCTTCTATTTTTCTATCGTACCAAATGGAACATTAGTATTTTTCACTTATGACCAAATAAGTTTCTTCAATGTAGTTTAACTCAAATAAGTCTAAATTTTTGTACCAGCTTTCAAATTACCCCAAGAATTTTAGGAGTTCATTGGACTATTTTTTCCAAACTAATCTTACCGAGCCCCATACCAACTTACCAAACAGCCCCTAAGAGGATCGAAGACCTCCCAGTAGTCGGTAAAAAGGCAAAGCAACTGTTCTGCACTGGATATTCTGTAGCCCTCAATGGCAATGTAAGCCCGTGAGAGATCACTTTGTGCTCAACAAACATCACTGCAGAAGCCTCCAAGCCAAAGCCTTTGGCTCCACCCACCTGGGAAAGAAAACAACTAAGAAGATTCTTTAAGCCATATCCACATGTCTCCATGGATATAGAAACCTACCTGATTTCTGCAAGCAAATGAAAACAAGTAAAAACTAAAATGTGAAATCAGATCTTTCAAAAAAAACACCCCAAAACATATGCCTCAAAGGCTCAGAATGGCGAAGCATCGTTCAACCACCGGAATTGTACATAATTATGGCATCACCGGGCCGAATATCAGACAACTAGATACACCTCAATTATTTAGATGTGAGTAGGGGTGTCAATTTTTGATTCGAACACGAACCCGACTCGAATCGAACCCCAAAAAAACACGATTCGTTAATACGAGTAATAAATTGATCAAATTAAAATTCAACACAAATAACACGATTAATGGGTACTGTAGATAAAAAATAATTATTTAATGAATATTTTAGATATAAAATAAAAATTTTATAATTTTTTAAATAATATTATATTAATTGTTGTCAAATTCAATAATTTTTTATTGACACATATCGAAAGTGATACAACACGAAAATAACACGACCGAAAGTGACACGACACGAAATTGACACAATACGAAATTGATACGACACGACACGATTGACACTCCTAGATGAGGGTGCTAAGATGTTCATTTATTATCTAGGTTCCCCCCCCCCCCCAAAAAAAAAAAAAAACCAATGAATCCCAAGTCGATTTGCACGTGGACAAAAAATACAAACCAGAATGCACAGTAACTTCTACAATAATCACAAAATAAACATATATCTCAAATGAGTCAGCATCGTTCAACCACTGGTGTTCCACATATTATGACATTACTAGGCCAAGTATCAGACAGATACAAATAAAACTACTTCCATTTCCATGGCCAACATATGACATAGCCTCCATTGGAATGCTAGAGTGTCTCAGTTCTTCCTCCCTTCAGACAAAATGATGTGGTAGCCATGCCTGCATAATCAAAAGCAAAATGATGTTAGCTGGCCTGCAAATCAATCACTCTACAAACACCTATTTCGCTGCTGTATGGATAAAAATCAGGATATTAGGAAGCCCACGTTGATTTGAAAGGTGCACTGGTAACTCCAACAGGTGTGTTAAAGGCAACTTCCTGAAATGGGCCAGCCATCTTGCCACGTGGAAACCATCCCAGGTCCCCACCCTTCTTCCCTGATGGACATTCTGAATACTCTGCTGCTAGCTAGAAAAGGCAAAGAAAAACAGCATAGAAAAATTTCAATTTGTTCTTCGGCTCAGTTCAAGACATGACAGATTTAGGAGAAAATATGCATTAACGTTATAGCCATCTTATTATAACAAGAACTTTCTAATTAACAGTGAACTTGGTTCTTGTGCTCATGCCATAAAATCATATGAAAGTTGATCCTATTTTTGGTACGAGGTGGATGTAGTACATTGACAGCCACAATTGTTTTTCTTCTATAGTTTTGTTTGTTCCAACTTCTCCGTGCCTATGATATTGCTCGATGTGCCTAGAGGTAATTAAGACATTCTCATAAGGCTTGAAAATCAGTCTTTAAATCCATAAATGTTTATGTCAAATTTAACTCAAGTCAATATGGAGTGGGCTAGTGAAGTGGGTTTAAATAAAGCCATTTGACATGTTTGCAAAATTATGAAGCATACAGATGCAAGTGATTATTTACAAGAGTTTCACCTCAAGTATTACTGCTCAGTGAAAATTAGGTTTGGCACCTCTAGACAAGGGCTGTAACAATCTCAAAATATAAAATGGTAGGGAATTTACCTTAGCAAACTCAGCTGGTGGAACCTTATCTCCGTTGCTAAGCCAGCCATCTTGTAGCTTTTTGTAAGCTTCATTAATCTTCCCTTGCTTCTCACATAAGATATGCCTCGCTGAAAAAATCAATAACCTCACAACAGAATCTTAAGGAGACTAACACCACATCAAGTTTTGAACTTAAAAACAAAGAACTTCCTCAAAAACAGGATAAGGAGAAGAAGAGACCTTTGACATATGTACATGTTCCAAGGCCATCTGCTTTTCCAGCTTTCCCTTTACCCTTGGAAGCACTGTCGTCACTTCCACCAGCTGCCTGTTTTCCCTTACCCTTACCTCCTGAGTCCTTTGGTTTGGAGTCCTTCCCCATATCTAAACCAAAGTTTGACATCAGACCAAGTGAAATATTGTTAAAGTAAAAGGATAAGCCAGTGATTGAACTTAAAATCACATGATAGTAACAGAAACAAGGGAAAATATATGGGGCTGGGTAGGCTAAATAATCAAAGATGATAACAATAAAGGAGGACAGAAAACAAAAGTCAATTTTCACATCTTGGTCAAAAAACCAAAATAAGAATAAGATTATGGACTACAAACAACAAAAGAAGCAAGCGACAATTGTGATCAAGTGAGCAAGAAAATTATTAATCACAAAACCAACGTGCTATCATACATGTATTATGATGCTCAAGTCAGAGAACAGAAAAATTAAGAAAGGCCACTCAATTTTATTAATCATTGAAGACAAGATTCTTAACATACCAATGAGGGGTGTGTAATTGCAACAAGGCTTTTCACATAATTTATTATAAAGCAATTGAGGCCAAAATGAGCCATTAACAAATTCACAGCATTGTGATACTCAACTTCATGATGTACAAATATAGCAATTACATAAGCCAGAAATCCAACTACCATTTGTTTTAGCACACCCCTTTCACTCTCAAATTCATCCAACATTATTCTCTATATTATTTCCAGCTATCTACCCTATTAAACTCTTGCAATCATGCAAAATCAGTTCGTTTCTGATAGCTGTCACCCTGTGCAAATATGCTGAAGTTTAGACCTGTATGCCATCAACACTCCCAGGCTGCTTCTGTAGGCCGGACTTACACTGTGTAATATCTTTTTCTATCTACCCTATTAATTCTGAACCTAAAATTATTCCGTTGCCAAATTATAACCAAATCCCAAACATGCCACTATGCACAAAGTTTAGGCAAGTAATAATATCCTTTCAAAGTCATCCTAGTCATATCAACAGTGAAACACCGTCAATATACCATACATAAAGATAGCACATGAAATTACAGCAATATTATAAAACATTAAATCACTATTCTTATCACAGATTCATGAATTGAAGCATGCCCAGATGCAGAAAACACAATAGAAACCGATAGGGGAAGTTTACAGAGTTATATCAGCGCTATACGAAGCTATAGATACCTATGACATAAGAAAAAATCCCAGAAATAAAAGTTCAAATTTCAGTCGATATTTCAAGTAAAATCCACGAAAAAACTGCACATGTTAGAGAAGCAAGAAAAAAAATAGCACAATAAAAAAGCAATTGTAAGATTGTGCTATGGGAATTTTACCTTAGAATTCGATTGACGGCTCTTGACGAAGAAGATTGCTGATGAATTTGGCACAATTTGGGAGGGTGGGCTAGTCTGAGTATGAAATTTTATATGGTCTTCTTGATCATGAAGTTACAACTTTGTCCTTCTTTGGTAATTCCCCATAGATTGTTCTGCCCTTCCAAGCTATCCTTTCTATTCAAAATTTTCCCTTTCTTTTTCAATCAAATAAAAATTAAATAACGGACTCTATTTTAATTATATTAACAATTTTTGCATAGAAAAACGATAATATAACAAATACAATAAAATTTTTTTTTCAAACAATACAACAAATATTTGATTGTGGACCATATTGTTACTTTCTTTTTTTTTTTTATATCTAATTAAAGTTTAAATGTAAGAATTTAAATCTTTCAATATTTAAATTGAGAATTTAAGAATGTTTTATGTTGCGAGGTTTCATTCACCCTCTTAGATTAGACTGGAATTATTACTTGAGAATGACAGATTCAATTTAAATTCCATAATCTAATATTTCTCAAAATCTTGTCATAATGTTAGCATGAACTTAATTATAATTTTATAAGTGAATTAGTAATAACTTCATGCCTAAAGATATTCTATAATATCAAAAAAATTGAATATTGATTGTACAATATTTATATTTGAACAGAGAGAAAATAAGAGAGAGGTAAGCGAGAAGAATTTAATAAGGATTGTATTAGTTAAATTATTTGACATTGAAGGTCATGCAGAGAAAATAATATTTTTGAAGAAAATAAAATAAAATTATGAGATAAATTTTATACCATTGGATAAAAATAAATGAGAATTAGATCAATTTTAATCATTATTATCTATATAATAAAACACAATACAATTTAAATTTCAAAAAATAAACAAAATGACTTTTATTTTTCGTGGTTGAGATCTCTTTAAATTTTATTTTAAAATTAATTCAATGGTTAACATTAAACTCCAAATTTAATAGGAAAATGGACCCCTAAAGGTGTGTTTTGGGTAATTTTTTAAAAATATTTTTAGGATTTACAACTTCTCATAAATATGTTAAAAAAAAATAGTGTTTGGAACTGTTTTACCACCATTATTACCCCCACCGCCATCACTCCTACCACCACACCACCATTACCACTATCACCACTACCACCACCACTCTCACCACCACCTCTTCCCCAACAACCACAGCCCCACCACTACCACTACTGCAGCTAATACCACTGTCACTGCCCCACCACAACTATCGCAGCCACCACCTTATCGCCACCGCCACTATCCCACCATTACCATTGTTACCCATGACCGCCACCATCACAATCGATTATCATCTCCCTCCACCACTGCCGCCCAACCACCACTCGTTCTCAGTACAGTCAATGTTTAAATTCATTTCTCTATCCTCTATCTTTAATTTAATGGGCAAAATCCAGTTTACCCCTTGTGGTTTGGGTATTTTGCACATGACCCCTCTATTATTTAGAAATCAGCACATTATCCCCTTGTGATTTTGGACTAAAATGCTACGGTTAGTATTTCTGTTAGATTAGACGATCCGTGACATACACGCACCTAAAAGGAGGTTTGACATAACAAAACACATTTCCCTCCAAAAATAGACACAATAAAATTACAATAATACCCTTATTCGATCTTCATCTTCTTGAACAATTGCCCTACTGTGCACCACCACCACTGCCAGCCAAGTTCAATCAACCAAGCAAGACACCCCCACCAGTAATAACAGAGATCAACGAAGACCAAGAGGAAACAAAAAAAAAACATGGGATTCAGTTTATCCCCCTTTTTTTTAATAGAATTTTATTTATTCACAAAAACAGTAATTACAAGAAACAAATATACCTTACAGAAAGCACAAAGCAAAATATATGCCTTAAAAGACAACAAACCAAACTTAAGTAAAAAAACCAAAAGTTAACCAGCAGCTCATCCAGCCAACTCCCAAACCAAAACATCACCACTGCCTAGCTTCCTTTCTAGCAAATTTCAAACAAATCAACATTTACTTCAAGGATGTTCAAATAAAACAAAGCCTGTTAGGCCATATCATCAAGCACAACCCTCCTTTTCCTTCGGAGACCAGATAATCCCTTCTGGTCATTCAGCAAAGCCAACCCAAACTCACAAGACAATTGCAACTCCACCGAAAAATCAGTATTCCTTCGACTCAGTACAAATACCCAGCACAAATACAAATAACCAATACAAATACCCAACACAAATCAATAGTCCTACAAAATCCTTGCTTTGATTGGGGTGATTAGGGGTTTGAGTTTGTGCTCTGTAAATGGGTAGTATTATCGTGGTTGTGATCATTGCCCAGATGGTTGCCCCGATGCCAGTGATAATTGGGGGAAGGTGGATCGTTGATTTATTGGTTGTAGAGAGAGAGAGATAGAGATAGGGTTGCCAATTGTGGCAGAAGGGTGGTGAGAGAAAGGGATAATGAGGTTGTTGCTTAGAGAAAGAGAAAGGGGAGAGGGGGTTGCTGATGGAGAGAGATGATGAAGGAGAGAGAGAGAGGGAGCAATGACATTGCTGAGTGAGAGAGAGAGCAAGGTATAATTTTGCAGAGATAGTGGTAAGAGAGATATATTGCTAATCGGTGTGAGTGGGCGTGAGAAGTTCAAGTGGAACACATAACACGTGGCCTATTTTGATGTTTAACGGTTGAGATTTTGAGGATATTAAAATCATTTTATCACTTTTGTTTATGATGTTAATTGTACATATCGGTCCAAAACCACAAAGGGGTAATCTGCTGATTTTCAAATGATAGGGGGTTCATGTGCAAAATACCCAAACCACAATAGGATAAACTAGATTTTGCCCTAATTTAATTGAGTATGAATACAAATATGTTTATTATTAATTTTTTTTATTACTACGTGCCTTCAAACACGAAAAATAACTAATTCATTTACAAGTTATAAATTCAACTTTCTAATTATAATATTAAGTTGATTATGCTTTTACACTTCATTTCCTTTTTGAAAACAGCACCCAAACTTCCACAACTTATATACTTCCACAAATTGGGGGAAATCGAGTAAGTTGTGAAAGTTTGGGTACTCCTTTGTTATTTTCAGAAAGTACTGCTAAAAAGTAGGAGCTTATGGCTGATTAATAGGGCTGTATTTATTGGAGTCTCCATGAGAATAAGTAAGAACGAAAGCAGAGAAACCAGCTACCTTTGTCTTATTGTATTCTTCTTCCTGGTCTTATCAAATACACACACAAAAACTAAGCAGTATCACTTACTAATCGTCCTTGAAAAGAATTGCGAGATTGGAAAACCGGATCACAAAATTATGGATCAAGTAATCACCGGTTTTCGCCTAGTATATGGACTTACGACAAGCAATACATTTCAGTATTTTGAAGTAGAAAGATCAAACAATCTTTAAGCCTAAGTCAAACGAGTCACTGCAGGTCCCATACCAAGACTGTTCCTAAACCATTGTTCACAACACACTAGGGAAATAAAGGCAGTTTCTGAGACTAATCCAAACGTAAATCTATAAAGCTTAGGCCAAGACTAAACATAAACCTATGACTAAACTTTTGATTCCAATTCATGGTATAGCTGTAAAACAATCACTGTATTACTAGCAGTCATTTGCCAGTGGCGCGATCAATCTGTGTGCAACAACCAATTTGATAACAAGCTTTAGCATTCAACCTTGATTCCTTCAAGCGGGACTACTACTCGGAGTCGCTATCCGAGAGTTTCATCTGATGAGCATCTTTGGGTTCAACATCAGTGATGGAACGAGGGGGGTCTTGGTTTGACCCAGTTCTATGGCGTTTCCTTCGACCAGGTCTCACGTCATCCTGAAAAAGGAGATATGGCCAGTTATCACACAACTGGTGAGAAAGTATAAATAGAAAAGGAGAAGAAAATGCACAAAAACTCATTCTGAAAAACGATGGAAACATTATGTAGCATCACCATGCTCATAAAGGGTCCCTTTCAAATTACATGGATTGAACATGTAAATTAATAATGACCGTCACTCTTTTTGTACAGTAAATGGCAAGCAATAGAGGAGATCCATGTGAACAGGTTGACAAAGGGTTGCACGCTTTGCCAGTGAATATCTAGATGTCAAACTATGACACTAAAAATATTCCCATAAGATTTGTTCAAATTAAGAGTAGCCCAGTAAACAAGACTCCCCCATTGCGGGGTCTAGGAATGGTCATATGTATGTAATCTTATGCCCACAATAATCAAACAACTATCTTTATGAAGTAGAATGAGGTCCACGCCAAATAATTAAAATGATGACAAGACAGTGAGGAGGATGTTCCAACAAATGAAAACAAAAAAGATATGTCAACTGGAGTCAGATTGAGCATGGTCCTAACCCACATTAGAGTTGATGGAATATACAGCTAATTGAGATGAATCAAATGGCAGCAACAAGAAATAATGATATGTGAAGACACTGCTCACACAAAACAGGATGAAATGATTCCGAAGCTATCTATCACTTACTGTTGTACTTGGTTGACCAGAATGACTTGACTCAATCGGATGAGTTGATGGACTTCTCCGCAGCCAGATGCTACCAAAAGACATTAGTGCTCCCAGAAGCAGGATCGGACCAATCCTTGGATCATACAAGTAATCATAGATTCCACGTATAAGGTCACCAATTTTCTGCTTCACTCCCTTGCTTGTGGAAATAAACTTTTCAGTACCTTGTGACCAAATGGGATCTCCATCCTCAGGAACAAGCGCAGGAGTTGTTGCCCTCTGCATTGGAATGGAGCATATGTTTGAGTGCAAAAAGAAAGCCAAGAGATGCAAATTTAAGCTCCAGAGTTTTTACATTGTCTACAATAATGCACAACCAATGCGTGACACGAGGAACAAAATTACTTTCCAACCCTTCCCATCCATCCATTCAAGCTGATGACTATTCATGAGAAATGGCTCCACCATTTATGAATACCAAGATATCTCCTAGACACACAACAATGCAGATACTTTGTAGTGATTCAATAACATAACTTCACAAGCAAGGTTGAAGTAATCACTCAAGCGGTATCTATTTTACACCCAAAAACACCCTGTGAAGCTAGTTTCCAAAACTTGTTCAGAAGTTTTTTGAAGTTAACTCACAAAGAAGGGGAGATCCCGGGAGTCACCATCTTGAATTATTTGAGAAATCCACTGGATGATCTGCAACCAAATACATCATAATGAGCTCATAAGAACAGTAAAATAAGTCATAAGCTAAGGTTCAATATGCATGAATAGTTCTACCACGGTGAAATAGCCTCAATGATAAAATGATATATTTTAAAACCCAGCAAATAGAGTTCAGTCAAAACACAATTTAACCAAAATGGATAGATGTCACAAATTGAACTCTGGAACCAATTAACAAAGTGAATGCGGTACATCATGAACTTTTAACTGGCAAGGTAGCAGCTAGGGTAGCAAATGAGTGGGTTGGGTTGATTATGGGTTGGGTTAAATTGGATTGAGCTAAAATAAATCCAATCCATTTTTCACTCACGTAGTAAATGGGTTATAATGAGTTGGGTTAAACCAATTAACCCATAAAATAATTAAAATTCTTAATAGACACATTAGTACACCAAAAAATACACACACACATTAGTAGTGCACCAAAAAAAACACACACACACACACACAAGTACACCAAAACAAACACAAACTAATACATTAAAAATATACACACTAATACACTAAAATACATACTAATACACCAAAAATATACACACATATACTAACACAAAAACTAAAACACATTTAATAAAAAAAAATACACACAAAATGGGTCAGGGTCAATTGTGGGCTACAGGTTGGTTGTGGGTCATAGGTCAATCCATAGGTCGTGGGTCATGGGTCAATCCATGGGTCGTGGGTGGTGTATTAGTGTGTGTGTTTTTGGTGTACTTATATGTGTATATTTTAGTTTATTAGTGTATATGTATGTATTTTTTGGTGTAATAATGTGTGTATTTTTTGGTATATTAATATATTTATTTAATTTTATTACTTGTGCTATTTAATAAAAAGATAAATACTCAACCCAATGGATATCCACTTGTAATTCATATTAACCCGCTTAATTAAAATGAATCATATTACCCAATCTATTTAGAACTCATATTAATTAATGTAGGTACCCAACCTATTTATTTATGGGCGGGTTGGGTGGATTAATGAGTAATGGGTTAAGATTGCCACCTCTAGTAGCAGCACACCATTCCGTTATAAAGAGAAGTTCTAACCTCTGAAATTTGAGCCGAACCATTGTACACTGCTACAAGTTGGGATGCAGGATCAGTATCATCACTATGCAATGCTTCGAACAAATTTTTTGGCTTTTTCTCAATCTGCATACCGTCTTCAGTAGCTTTCTTTTTGTAGCGCACGATAAATAACTTGGGTACATCAGTTATATCCCTCCTGGGTCCACAAGTTTCATAGCCATCCTCCGAATTAATGTAGAAGAAACAATATTTCTGGGTAAGGGGGGACAATGTTAATATTTAATACAGAAACATATGACCATTTGTTAATAAAAATATCGTTGTCCAATATATAACTACACTTATCCAAAGGAAATTTAAAGAAATGCTTTAAACAGAGATGCTAAGAATGAGATCTTTTTACTTTAAAGTAAATTTGAAAATCTGAGAACAAAGATAAAACTCCACTGCACATCCTATACTGCAATGACATCTGATATCAAAACTACAGTTGCTCATGAGTGCAAACTTAGTCTGCATTTGCAATCTAACTCAACATGCTTCATACCAAAGCCCTGGAGACCACACCAACTTGCTATGTCAGGAATCACAGTCTCTGGAATACCACAAGTCCTCAACATGTACAGATTGCTTCTGCAAGAATAGCACCAATTTACGGCAGAGGGCTGGCATTCTATGGAAAACACACCTCCAAAGAGTTTGTAGAAATTTAGCATGATCTTATAAGGCTAGAATTTTATTCTTTTTTTTTTTTTTTTTAACAAATCAGGATATGTGGATCAATTTCGTTTTGTGGCTCCTAATATCTGCATTACGTTTTTAAGAGAGAGAGAGAGAGAGAGAGACCTTAAAATCAACACATATATTACAATGGAAGACCTTAAAATATTGATGAACAATATCCTCTACGTTTAAAAGGTTATAGAGAATGCTGAATAAAAAGAAGCTGGTCCATATAACTGTAAACAAAACAAAAATTGCAGACTTTTGGGATAGATTCTTTTGAAAATTAATCAAATTTGAACAAGTGTGCCTTTTCAGGTAAGGAGGGCATTTCAGGCTTGGTTCAGGATGAAGTTTGGGAACTGCCTCTTTTGGGATTGGACCTGCTATCATGAGCCTGACTCGGTCTAGCAATGAGATTATATCATTAAACTTGTACAACAAAGTGCTACCAACAAAGTATACAAAGGATGTATCTTCAAATTATAGCTACTTACTAATGGAGCATGAATTCAACATCCGTAATTAAACCAAAAAAAACATAATATGAATGACGAACAAACGGAGGAACTCACCTTTTGCGCTTCACCATCAAGCCAAGTAAACGTCAGTCGTTTCTCCTTCAGTGCGATTGCAGCTGGCGTTGATGCTGTATCTTGATCAACTACATTTAACACTCCATCCCGTGAAAGACTCTCTTGGAGCCTGCGCATGGTCTTTGACCATATGTAATTTACACCATATGCTAAAGCAGAAGAATATAATGGCATTTCCATGATAAAAAAACATTCAAATTTATCTGCATTAGATTGGGAAACAGTGTAGTTATGCCCTTGCATTCTAAAAGAATATATGCCATTGCTTTGGAGGATTATTGGCTAAATTAAACAATTAATGTTGTCATTCTTGACTAATTTTGTAGACATTTGCATCTTTAGTTTCTGTCATATTCTTTACTTCTCTCTTTCCTTCTTTTTTTTAAAAGTATTGGTTTCATTTTACTTCATGATTCTGCAATCAAACCATGGAAAACCAGATGGAATGCTCTGATTGTTTGAAGTGTCCAAGTCAGAAATACAGAACCAAGCTCCTATAACACAGCTAAATTTTTTCCCACAAACAAAACAACCATGTGGAGCTGTAATTATTAAAAATGGCAAGGAGAAGGTGCTTACTTCACGCATTTTGTCAAGCTCTAGGCTTTGCCTTCCAGCTAGAACAGCACAATACCAGATCATGGTATCATTTCCAGCCCGAGAATGACCTCGGGCATCACAGCCGAGCTCCATTGATGTCACACTCCTTAATTGGGGAAGCACTGAAAGCAAGGAATAAATAGTCACAAAACAGCTTTTTTCATGTGGCTTTGCTTTGCAAAAGCTTGAGAGGATCTAATCGATACACAGCACAGATACTTTAAACGACAATCAATCATTTAGAGTTCCATGTTTCAGTAACAGAAAGACAGCAACAAAGTGATCTCCTAAGTATAATGGGTGATCAAACAATTCTTTTTTTTTTCCTCAACTCAACAGGACGAAAACTCTGCACAAGAAACATGAGAAGGCATGTTGGATGTGTGTTGTAGCAATCACACTTCCCCAGACCTAGTAAGCAAGTCATTTCACCCCGAAGATGAACTTTGCTTCTGAGTGCTGTATGCATTCAATAGCACTGGCATGTCACATGTGTAATGCATGGAGATGATCATAACATATGGATACAACAGAACAAGGAAACAATTATCTCACAAGTCTGAAAAAGTAGGCTACGATCATTGCAAAAACATAGTAATATATACCTTAGTGTACATGTGCATTATTTTGAAAGAACAACTTTTTTTAAGTTATAAACAACTATTAAGAAAAACAACAATCTCCATAAATCATTAGATTGGTAATTATTTCTATTAATCTTTCAAGATGGCCTCATTTTCTCACTCATGGTATTGATCGACAACAGTTACCCATGTTATATTTCAATATTTTTTAAGATAATATGGAAGTGCTTAAAACACTTAGTCTCATTACCAATAATCACGCCATTACTATATCAAAAAATGCTGCATCTTGATATTTGTCATATGACGGACATCTAACATGTCTTTACAGGTATCCTAGCATAGAAGTCGAATATAGTAATCTCTTAGGCTGGCATAAAGCAAGAAGAATGCAACAAATGTAGTTATAACTAAAGTTCTGGTTCTGTTTTGTCGTTTACGTATTCTAAAGATTTGTGTTTGCTTACTTGCAGATCAACTAGGGTACAAAGCTTGATCTGTACTAACCAACCTAGATGAATGAGGGATTCAATCATAGGTCTCTGGCAGGACTACCAAGAGACTTCATGAGCAAAGCTAGCTGACATTTCTACCATTTGCACCTCTTGTCTTGTGCACCCTTCTCATCTGTACCAACCAACCTAGATGAAGGTGGGATTCAATCACAGGTCTCTGGAATGACATGACTACCTAGAGACTTCATAAGCTAAGCTAACTGACATTTCTACCATCTTCACCTCTTGTACAACCTTAAGCCCCTTTCCCCCCAACCCCATCCCGAACCCATAAAATGAAGAAAAAAAGGGGCCAAATGAAGAAGAAGGTTTCAGGCATTCCTGTCTAAATGAATCCATGTGGGGCCCAACTCTGTGTGTGTGTGTGGTGGTGGTGGGGGATGGGGGGGGGGTAGAGAACTTTCTAGAATTGAGAAAATTTTGTTTGGTCTATATAAATAAATGGATATGAGCACCCCGAAATCTTCTTCTCTTTTCTTTATTTACACTCTTCTCTTTTTAGTGGGGGTGATTTTGTTTTTGCGGGAGGGGGGAGGGGATTAAACAAAAACCACCAAGATTACAAAAGAGGAAAAACACAATTAAACTTAGGAGACAACAACAATTCTAGAATGTTAAGTCACCCAATAGCCAGAACAAACAACTGGGAGAAACCTTTTTTCTAAGTTGTAAACATAGAAATAGCATATGAAGACCAACCAACGTATCCCTCGAATCATCATTAGCCCCCAAGCCCAAACATTAAAGGAACGCAAAGTAAGAAAACCACTTCGAATAGTATAAGCATGGACTACACTCCAGAAATTCTTTTACCCCTCTCCTTCCATACACACTGAAAGGCACTACTACTTACGTAAACAATAATATCAATACCAATTACAAAATATGACGATCATTGTCAGAACACCACAACAACCAGCAATTCACAATGCTATTCTATGATTGAGTTTATACACTACACATCAGTAAAGCCAAATCTCATGAGCTTCTTTCCCTCCTACAATTTCTCTTCTGCATTCTATTCCCTTTTCCGTCCAAAACAAATATAATCTGCAGTCTAAAAATTATCACATCTATGAAATCTGTCAAATTGCAAATCTAAATGAGTTGGAGAAACAAAAATATTTGTACATATTAAACAAGTAGTTTAGATCACTAGATTTTCATGTCCTTTTTCTGAAATCTTAAAAAATAAATGTCCTAAAAGATAATCACATAATTGGGAAATTTTTTAACAGAAAACCTTTAAGCACATAGTCAATGCTCAAATATCCACAATCTTGTATGACCCAGGCATTCATCGCATATCTTTCACGTAATTTTTTTTATGAGTTGTGGTTATTTCTAATTCCACCAACATAAGAATTGTTGTTGTCAAATGACACTCCGAAAAAATTATGTCTAAAAGTGTACAGCTCCCAGAGTGATGAGCTTTAAAGGAAAGTCAAGGGGCAAAGTTTCAGGATATTGCCAAACAAAGGGAGAAAGCAAGAGAAACTATTTTTTACTTTTTCATGGGGAGTTGCCAACAATGTAATAATGGGTCAAAGTCAGGTTTGCTCCTACTAAGAACAAAGCAGCACACATTAAATTTGAGTGAAACGCAAGTTCAACACCAAATTAGATTTGATCTTATATCACCTCAAAAAGAACAATATACATAACTTCCCAATTTTTTGCCCCTCAATACAACCACAAGTCAACTACAACAAATTGATTAGCTATTTTGAACATGCATGAAAACAGAATACTCCAAACAAAAGCAGTGATGCAATTATTGCTCTATATGTTGAAAAGATCGTAAAGACTTAAAATAAACTGAGGTGAAAAGAAGACTGTAAAAGGAAAAATTAACAAAAGAAGAAATGCACTGGGTTAAAACTTATGAATCAAATTAGCTGATACTTTTAAGTGAAAAAGATTGGAAGTACAGCCCCTAGAGCAAAATTTGACAATATGATCAAGGCAGTTTTTCAGAAGAAAATGCTTTGATAGGGATGCTCTAGTGACTGAAGCACAACAATGATGAGCACAAGGGTTGCAACATAATCTTTAATACTGCAGAATCCAACCCAATCTACACATCAACAATTAAAGGAAGATAATCATCAGAATGGCATCAATTTTATGACACAACAATTGGACTCATTTCTTGGGGCATGACAACACAACTTCTGTGAACAGTGGCAAGATTTTTATTTATTTTTGGTCAGATACAATGGCGAGATTTAATTAAACATGATAAAACTAAATCCTAGGGAAAATTGCATTACCTTGATGTTTATTCTTCCCCATTATATTCAAAAACCATAAATTATTGACTGACCCTGCAAAATGTATGCACCACTTAGCTTATCAGGTTACCCAAGTAAGTAATCATTATGTTCTTTGATAAGCAGTAATAATTAATTTTTAATAAGTATTAAAGGAAATACAACCAAATGGAACCAGAGTAACATGCCATGATACACGACAGGTTTGACGCCTGGATCTCTAAGAAATACAATAGCAGGAGCAGATTCCACCCCAAACCTGTTGTCAATAATAAGAACTACGTCAAATGGATTTGCTTTTTGCAGAAAACATGCTGCACTGGTTTAGTAGTAACTATAGATGAAGAACAAGCAATGCATAAAATATTTTTCTTTTGAAAGCCACCGACAATTGATTGAAAAAAATAAGATCAAATATGCAGGTTGGAGCAACTATGGTTTTCTAACCAACAAGCAAGATTTAGAATAGATCAGACGCAAGAACAAAGCTTTTTTTCTTCTTTTTCAATTATTCTTTCAGGTTTCTTTCTTCCATAGAAAAAGTTCTCACTTTGTACACTACAAGAAACTGAATAAGGATGAGAGGGACAAAAGATGTCCTCCAAATTTGCTGAAGTAATGGCAAATATGGAACTATTTCAAAAGATAGAACAAGAGCTTCAAGGATTTGACAAAATGAATCATTTGCAGACAAGCTTTTTTCTACCATCAATAAATCATATGGGCCCCGCCCACATTTTAAAGCATGACTCACTTCAGAAGGAAATTATGTTTTCCAAATATGAGCTGGGATTACAGACAGAGACCCAGAGCACATGTTTCAAAGCATGACTAAGATTTGTCAATAAAGGAACAGCCTTATTACCATATTGGTTCATGCATAACAAAAATGACTTTTGAGTATGAGTGGTGAGCTTTTCTGCAATAGTGGTTCCAAAGGGAGAATTAGAAGAGATGATGAAGTTAACATTTGTTTTAGGGGCTCTACAAACATTTCATTTTATCATTGTACGAAAGGTTTGTTGACTTTAATAATTGTATGTCACATTTCCTTCTCTCTTTTTTTCTCATGTATGCTTCTTCCCAACTGAGATAACTTTTCCAGTCTATTTAATAGGGAAAAAACTGGTATATTATACAATGAGAAAATGTAATATGAAATATCTTCACTATTAAAAACTAATTGTTTGGAAGGCACCAAGATTATTCAACAAGCAAGAGAGCTCAACAAATATCACCAGCAGCAGAAAAGGTAAATACAGAGTCATTCTAGGGGGAAAAAAGTATCTATAAAAGAAGACAGAAGCCACATACATATTCCACCAAAAAGTCGCTTCTTCTTCCCGCCATAGTGCAAATGCAAAAGATGCATAAGCCCAATAATTCTTGGCAGCTTGACGAACAAATGGAGTGGCACGTTCTCCTGTTCTTGAGATGAAAATTACTTTGACCTATCACCCAGAATTGAAAAAGGCATTTAAATACTTAGGCAAGGATAACAATGGACAAAACACGAATGATTAATTACTAAAAAATGCCCTCATCATGGGCCAGTATCACTTAATCACTCTGTTTCTAAAACCAGACATGTCAACCCCCTCAAATATTGTTCATGTCACTTAACCCTCCTCCGTCAATGTGCCATTCAAAAAACTGGTGCCAAAATTGACCAATTCATGTTCATACAGCCAAAATACCCTTCTTTAGACTTGTCTCCGCCATCTCCTCTTCCTCTCATTGCTACTCTCACACCAGTGGCACCATTGTGGCAGCACACTACCAGCACCACCATTCACCATCACCAACACACTACCAGCAGACACATACCCAACAGCGACAAACACAACACCACAAAACTTCGACTCCAAAACCCAGAAATGAAGATTGGAACTAAATCAATAGAAATCAACATTAAACATCAAAATCCAAATTGAAATAAAAAAAATCAAATACAAAAGGTAAATTCAATTTTGATTTCGATATTCATTTTCATTTGCCATCTTGAAATCGAACTCAAAATCAAAAAGCAAAAATTAAAAAAATCCAATCTGAACAGTTATAAGTGCTGAGGATCAGAATTGGGGCCAATGCCCCCGTTTGTGTCGCCGAGAGAGAAATATTGGGTGGAGAGAGGACAAATAGGAGCAGACATCAGGGAGGCAACTTACTGAAGTGTCAATGAAAGAGAGCTGTAGCAGTCATGTTTGAGTGTGCTTGTGTGAGTGAACTAAGACTTTGAGAGAAGAGAGAGACGAGGCATAATCTCTCTCTCTATACACACACACAATGTGAAATAGCCTTTTTTAGCAGCACCTCAAAAAGTCATCTATAAATGTAACAAAAAAAAACTTGTATCCACTAGAAGAGAGTATCGGTGCTGTGCTGGCCCCATCAGAATGAACCAGAAAAAATGGAACCACACACACACATATTTATAAATCGATGTGTATACACATATAAATGTAAGGGTAATCAGCAGTGAGGGGAGAGGAGACGGGATCGGATAGTTGGTGGTATATATATTTTATTATTATTTATTTAAAATTGCACCGTATCTTATGATACACGATACGATACAATATTTGTATCTTACGATACGCCTTCCGATACACGATTTGATAACTATGGTCAAAATGACTACACTTACTGTTATCGAAGAAATGAGTCCTTTGTATATCACCATGAAGTCAACAGTACTTGCCAACAGACATGATGGTAATTTTCTATAGGGTATATTAATAAGCAAAATTTATGGTAAGAGAAGAAAAAATTAAAGACATTCCTAATGAATTAGAAAAGTACAACAAAGATAATGAGTGCATACATATAAATTGATTATTCTTTGTTCTCGGGTGGAGTCACTTGAACTTAATGGAAATTCAAAAGCAACAAGATGCTCTTAAGAGGCTAAGAAGCTCCAGTATTCTTAGATTGCTATCGTCATCTACGTTTCTAACTTCTAAGAGTTCTACTCTGACATTGGGTAAGCTATAAAACTTACAAAATGTTTGGATGTAACTTAAGGGCTCCAAGAAATATGGATCCGATCTCTGACTGGCAAATAGGCTCATGGAAATGGTATTTTTTCCACTTGTTTGGGTGTACATTGTTAGATCGATGCAATAACCACTATGCCAAAACCAGTTGGTTGTGAGTAAGGTGCAACATCTATCTTTTCAACCATAAACAAACAGCGCACACGGGTCGGGCTGGTTAAGCCCTCCCCCCGAGTCTTAGAGAGACTTGCTGCACCTCTACCTGGGCCAACAATCTCCTCCCAGCAACTACCTTAGGACTCAAACTCGTGACATCGCTTTGATACCAATTATTGGATCGATGCGTTGACCACTATGCCAAAACCAGCTAATTGTTGGATCGATGCGCTGACCACTACGTCAAAACCAACTGGTTGTGAGTAAGGCGCAATATCTATCTTTTCAACCAAACACAGCAGCGCACACGAGTCGAGCTGGTTAAGCCCACCCCTGACTCTCAGGGAGACTTGCTACATCTCGATAAAGCCTTATGAAGTAGATATTTTCTCCCTCTTCTTTTTGTAAGTTACTTTTGACAACCAGAATTGAAGAACAATCGCATGCTTAAAATCCAAAACTAACCTAATCCTAAAAAGGCTTTAGTGAACAACATCCTCCCTTTCTTGAATCCAAGCTTTTTAACTGAAGGGAAGTCGCAGAAATCCCGACCACTTCAAGGTTTAGGGAGGACAAGATGTACGCTACCTTTCCCCCGCATTCAGAGATGTGATTGTTTCTGCCACTCAAACCCTCTACACTAGGGTCACAATTACTACTGCACCAAGACCAACCCTCTATCCAAGCCTTATAGCTAAGAAAGGAAATATCCATGCCTGATGAAGTGAGCATTTGAGTTAAGGCGCCAAGTCAATCAAATTGATTCTGTCATTGGGTGTTGACCATATTTTCAAATATCAAATAACACAACCCTATCATATGAAATGTGCAATATTTTGTTCCAAGGTGGCCTACCATCAAGATCTTATCAAAGACTGCCAATCATTATAAAGAAAAAAACCTTTTCAGATTACTGCTTCTTAGAAACTCTGTCGGCCAAAACAGGATAGGACTAGAAAAGACTTCACAGAAAAGGAAACAAATTGGGAGGGAGAGCACGAGATCATCTCTTTCATGGGGATAAGCAACAAAAGACACTAAAATCATCAGCTCCCCAAAATAACCTTGTGAAACTTTTATATCTCCAAGTTAAGATCAGAGACCACATACTGGCTGCAGGGGACAGTTGCTCAATTAACTAATCCATGCTCAACAACCAGGGACCACAACCCAATATGAAAGAGATCCCTGTCCAAGGGCATTTCTCGTCATGAATTATCCAACCAAAACCTCAGCGATGTCCTCAAATAATAAGTCTCTGACAACCTGTGAAAGGGTCTGATATCGAGTATTCGCATATATATGCTCGGAGGGTCTTAGTCTTACCAACAAGGATCAGGTTTAGTTGCCAAAACCTATTCACTCTCCCCTAAGGATTTTCTGTTTCTCCCCTAATCATTTCAAACCACTTTTCCGACAGAATAGCACCTCTTTGTATAGAAATGCAAAAACCTAAGCAAACCAACTGTTCAAATGCACTGACATTGCACCACGTTATCCATTGCAGCATGCTTAGCGAGAACAATCCGTAATTAACAGATACATGGAAGAACTATTTAGATAAATATTCTATCACTTGAAAAGAAATCACTCTACATAATTTTCAAATTTACCACCCCCACCAACATGATGGAAGATAAAGCATTTTAACAGATTCCAATAAACAATATACTCATTTTAGTTCCCTGTGCAATTCATAAAATTATTGATCAAGCAATCACCAATAAACAGTTAAATGTTCTAAGAGTTGCAACAATCTACTAAGCAAATAATAAGAAAGTGTGCAAATAGAATATAATAAAATGCTCTTACAATGCAAGCTTGGAAAACGAACTTGTACCTTATGACGAGCACTTTTTACCAGAAAATTTTGTGCCTGAAGTTGAACAATAGTTTCATATCAATTCCGTCCATGAGGCCACAAGATAGAAACAAAAAGATCAACTTGAAACTGGAATTTAAGTCAAATATAAAGCAGAATGATATCTCATGTGCAATATGAAATGCCTACACAACGTTTCTAATTTCCTAAAGGAGATGTCATTATAGCCCAGCATAGTTCTTTTGATATATGGGGCTAACCATCCTGCAGGAATCTGCCTATATTGAGGCAATAATAAAAATATTGGAAAACTCTCCATGGGTTTGGAAGAATCTACTTTTCTTTGACATTATGAATTTTTAGAAATAAACCATAAGAAATTTTACAGCCTCCTGAATGTTTTGTAACAGTCAAGATTGTGGATCTCTGCTTCTGCAAGGACATTGATCTTTTTTAAGTATTCGGATTTCCTATACAAAACAGAGCAGGCAAGTAGTTTGTAAAAAATGTCTCAGATATTAGAAATTAAATAATCATGATAAGGTATACTATAAAGCAACTGATATCCCAATTTTTCATATTACTCAAAAAATACCTAAGAGATTCATAATGAGAATCATAATCCTCATGATATATACCAACTCCCAACAACATATTCCCTACAATGATCATTGTCAAGATCAAAGTAGACCTATATCAGATAGCACAGTGTGTGTGACCCCAAATCAAGGGAAAGGTAAACCCTAATAAAAAATCAAAAGACAATACAACATCTGGTTAATTAAAGGGCATTATATTCTCATGGAATCATGGTTCAAAGTATCGGCCGATACTAATATGAGTCGGCGGAGTCGTATCCAACTCAGCAACTTCCGAGATGATACCGTTACACGACATCAAAAGTGATATTTATTATATTTAATGATTTGTTAATTGTATATTACTTGTGATTAAATATATTAGATTCTTTTATTTTTCTTCTTGATACTTATTCTATATGTTTGATTTATTTTACTAGTAATTTGATTGATTTAAAGTAATAATGGATAAATTAAGTAAAACAAACACTAGAGAAATAATCATAGTTGATAAGGATTAAAGAGTCAAAATTAAAATATAAAGATTTGAAGATAATACAACAATTTAAACCTTATGAGAGGCCAAATTAGTAGTAGACTCATTTAGAGATGGATTATAAAAGTATTCTACAAAATAAGATTTTGACACGTCTTTAGTATTTTGATCATACATTTTTACCCCGATATCCGATTGACCTGATTTTTACGACATTGAAAAGAAAACTTCTAAGTGCTAAAAAATGTATTTCATGAAAATTTCGTGCATCGGTCTCTAACTATGTGACAACTGAGCTCAAAGTCTGTGTAGATATAGTACCCGCGCCCCAAGATTTGATACACAAGATTTGACATAAAAAGACTTCTTTTTAGAAAATGAGTTCTCCCAAGCCCAACCCTAGACCTCTTACCTATACCTAGACTTTGGTATAAATAAAGGCTCTCACCTCGTGAGAGAGCATTCTTTTCCGAACTTTTTTTTTCTTTCTAGTTTTTTGAGTATTTTTTTTATGACTTATTAAAAGCCCAATTAAAGTTAGGAGAGAAGATTTCAATGATGCACGATATTTATTTTTGATTCAATATTGTTTTAATGCACGATTTATTATTTTAATATAATTCTTTTCTTTTGGTAAAGTTTTTACTCTACATAATTTCTTGATTCGTTGTACCACATACATCGAATGCTTGAAATTCTCAGCGAGTGAAATAACTAGTTATTTCATACTTGAATTAATTAAATAGAGATTTTCATAAAAATTGTTAATTTCTTATTTGTTATAAAATTAGAGTTTACCTAATAGAATACTTGATGTATTGTAGACTCTAGGTACGATGAATACTTGTGATTTACAAGTAAATTTCTAAATTTATTCAATTAAATTATTAATTACACTTTTGATGTTTTCATATTATTACAGCTAAATATTTCAATTGAAATCACTTCTCAGTTGATTCTCAATTGAGTTCGAAAACTGGATCATTAATAATTGTAGTGTGGAATTGAAAGGGTATCCTTGATACTTTAGTATTTCAAATTACTGTTTTTAACCAATCAAGTTTTATTCTTTTGAACAAACAAACTCCAACAACTTTTAAAATATTTTTCTTTTATTTTTTCTTGTATTCCAAGTTTATACAATTCCCTGTGGTTCGACCACAGACTTCTGAATATTATATTATTTCGCAGCAACCAACATGTTGGTGATACATTATTTCGTAGCAATCTGCACCACGATATGATCTAAATCTCTTGTCATGCATTTTTTTAGGTGATGTCGTCTAAATACCACCCCGCGACGCAGATGTATCTCAAAGCTTTCCGAGTCAATGATCAATACTGCGACCTTGAACTATAATAGAATAACTAAGGCAATACTATCAATATAACCAGGGAAACATAAATAGGGAAAAAAGTTGGGACTGAAAAATGTAGAATATAAACCCAAAATAGATTCCAAGATTACCATAGACTCTTTTGAGTAGTATGGAATGCGAGGCAAACTAAGGATGGTTGTTGCGAACCAATCAGCAACTGCGTCAACAGAAAGCTCTCCCACATATCTAATAATAAATAAATTTCAGATATTTTTTCTTCAATACCGAGTAAGCAGAGAATATAATTTGTTGAAGATAATGCAGATAAGGAATCATAATCTTGTCAAACCCCCCACATAGGGCAAAAAAAAAAAATTCTTAAAATAAGGAGGTGCATAGATGAACAGAAACTGCAACAATTCACTAAAAGGCGAAAAAAGAGAAATTCATATGCAAACCACCACTTTGTGTGTTAGTGTGTTTTTTTTTTTTTTTTTTTTTTGGGGGGGGGGGGACTACTGGGGAAAGCTTCAACTCTATGCGTTGGCTCACAATTCAGCTTAGTTGTGCTTGGCCACACTCAAGGTCGAGCCAAGCACAACTGTGAAGCTTAGACTCTTGCTCAAGCTCGAACCCGCACGAGCTTACAAGCATTCAAGCTGCAAGCCAAAATAAAGCTCAATTTCTTTGCAAAAAGATTCAAACATAGAACCTAATAATCCATAAAAAAAAAAAAAAAATCTCTCAAAATATTCATAATCCACCATAAAATAAATCCTAAAAACTTTTAATTTTTTCCAAAAATTATTTGAGAAGAGAGGAGCATATGATCTCGAGCAAGTTAGAAATAATTTTAGGGTTGTTTATCTTTCGAAAATAGATTTTTAGTATACAACTAGAATATTTATGAACAACACCCTATTCAAGTCGAGCCACATGTTGCTCAAATTCAATTTATTTACAAAAAGAACTTAAAAATCTTATCAAATTTAGTTTTGTTTTGTAATATAAACGAGCCTAAACCGAATCGAGCTCGAGCTCGAGCTCCTCGCATTGTGGCACAAATCTAACTTAGATTGTTAACAAATTGGATTTGGATCAATTTAAAAAATTTGATTTGAATATCCAGCCAGATTGAATTTTCGCAATCCGTATCTGAATATATAAGACCCCGTATTAAAATTAAAGGAGGATAATATTATATTAAGAGTTTTCCTAAGATAAATAAATAAAATGATGATAAAAATTTATAATCATTGTTGAAAGATTGATTATGAAATTTGAGTTTCACGCGTATTGACTTTGGGGTAAATTGAGTTTTGAAAATATTTGAACTTGAGAAGGGTAGCTGAGTAATTTTATAAATATTTTTAGGTCAAAATAAGATTTTTATTGAATCCAGAAAGTCGAAAAACCTTGGAAGAGGTTATATGGGCTATATTATAAGTTTGAAAGTATTCCGGAGTTAAAACCAATTTTGGAGAGGATTTAGGTAGAAAGAAATTTGACATTACTTTAGTATTTTGGCTATAACTTTTTGCTCCGATGTCCCATTCAGCTGAAAATTGGACAGTAGAAACTAGACTTCAAGGGCTATAAATATTTATTTCACGAAAAGTTCGTAAATCGACTTCTAAGAAGATCAAAATTAAGCTGAAAGTTAGGGGCAGACTTTCACCCCACGCCCACACGGGAATTCTCTATGTTTTCAGCAAATAAATACCCTAGGGTCGTGATCTAAAGTGTATTTACCTATTTTTCAACTCAACGAAGCCTAGAAAAGTTTAAAGAGAGTAAAGGAGGAAGAACGGGATAAATCATAAAGAATTAACGCGGGGTAATCATAACGAAACACGTTAAGATCAAGATCTCAAGAATCAAGGTAAATATATACAAGTATGTTCATTGAGGCTAGGGTTAATATATATGTATGTTTTCATTCTAAATCATATAATATATGTTATGAAATCATTGTTTCTTAGTTTTTTTGCAAATCGTATCATGTCTTGAATAATGTTATCGTTTGATTGCTATAAAAACTCTCGTTCTTGTTATCAAAACTCTAATTTTTAAGAAATATAGATTTTACCCTTGATATTCTATTGTTCTTGATTTAAAAACCCTATTTTAATTTGAACAATAAAATTATATTTTTTGATGATCTCTTGCATATTTTTCTCGAGTTGTTCCATTAGAAAAATAACTGTAAAATTATGGTTCTTGGTTTACTGAAATTTGGAGAATTGGTTTGGTATAGTATCTCTTGTGTGTATGTTTCGATAAACATGGGTGACCGTTAACTGAGTATCATAGAGTAGGTAGATGCGTTTCTTACTCCGAGTGGGTTTGAAGGTTTCCTACTACTCGTAGTGGAGTTGGTGCCTTGCGAGGACCAAACCACTATTCGCTCATGGGTATCGAGGTTGAGAACTACTATAATATTCTTGGGTTGAATTTGTCACTACTGATGCGTCGGTATACGTCATTCTAGAAGTTGTATATCCTTGCGAGTATTAGATGTGTGCATGTATGCCAAGATATTTTCAATGTGTGTATTTATGCTAAGTCTTACTACATACTTGAGATACAGTGTTGATAATGGCTAATTGTTTGGAAGTTGGTTTTACTTCTTCGTTGTATTTATTATGATTACGTAAACTTGAGATATGATAAACTGTTACTGTTAAATGATATTTTGTAAGACGAGACCGACTTATTTTATATGCTTTTGAAATCTTGTTCAAGTTTGGAATGATTTTCCTATAGAGCTTAGTGCTCACCCTCCTACAACCCACATCTCTTTCAGATTATGGTCTAAAGTATGAGCTTGGATTGGATGAGCAAGTGAATTAGAAAGCTCCGACTGATGGGGATATAGATCCTGTAATGGACGTTTAGAATTGTTTCCTTTTATGTTTTAGCTTGGGAGGTTAATTATGAAATAATGTTAAGGATAATGTTTTATTTATTCCATTGCAGGATAATATTTGATTTTTATATGTAATTAACATGGTTTGGCATATTTGTTTTGGTTTATACTTCAGTGTTTATGGATGATGAATGCAATTCTTTCTATTTATGGATTTTATTAGTTGCTCTCATGATTGATTGTTGTATAGATAATAATGCCTTTCAGAGTGGATTTTGGGGCATTACAGAATGCAGTAAGAATAAGAAAATATTTGAATATCCGATTCTCTGAATAACTTAATCAAATTCCAATTTTAATGAACTACATATGTATTTTTACTCAATTTTTCATCAAATAATTGTGAAATTTCTTTATAATTTTGTATACATTAATATAAAATTCAGATTGGCTCACAAACAAATCAAAAATTAGTATGTTCAAATTTTCAAAGTTTTATCTGGCTAATCGAATTCCATTCAAAATATGGTCCATTGACAAACCAACAATAGTTGTAGTGATTGGAAAAAGAGCAAAAATGGTAATCTATTCATATTTTGGATTTTAGGATTCCAATCCCAAGTGGAAACTCACCTAACAACGCAATCTGAACTCTTACACCCAGGGGGAAATGCCACAAGTGAAGGAAGTCCTATATGCATATCAAGTAAGTTAAAAATCAAGAAAGGAGTATGATAATGCTTTGTAAATTTACAATTCTTTTCCAATTTTGTAGCAGGCATATTCCAAATGTACACAAACGACATAAAAAAAATTAACAAAATTTTCTATATGATTTCATGACTTCAAGCAAGTAAGAAGCTCATCTAGAAAGTAAGAAATAACTCATTGAAGAGGAAATTTGGTCATAGTAGACTCCTCATTATCAAGTTTTATCCAACTAATGTCCCCTTATTCCATGTTAGCAAAAATTAAGAGAGTGAAGAAGAAAAATAGCTGGAAATTGAACCTAGATTCCCACAGACATCACACTTCAAGTTCTTAAGTATCACACCTGAGAGAAAGATGCATCACACATCAAATAAGTTGGCTCTAGATATTTATTCGTCCCATGGTTACAATAAAGGTAGTACATTGACTTTGTAAGAGAAACAAGACTTTGCAACCAAGTAGTATTCAAAAGTACTACTAAAATCATTCAAATATACCGACTACATAAACAAGCCCACAATTAGAAATCAAACCTGGGCAGCCCACTTGTTTGGTTTCACGGGTAAAGTACTCAAATACGCGAGCCAAAAACTTAATAGAGCATAGGTGAACCTAGATTAGCAAGTTTATTAATTTGCACAAATATAAAATAAGACCCAATATGACTCAAAACCTAGTTATTCCACTTCCTAAGTGGGACCAGCCTTGAAACCAAACTGATTTTCCCATACTTCGTGTTCTTGAATTTACTCATACCTTAAGACATATGTTGGGGAACAGCCCCTCCTTGAAAGCAAGTATAACTAGCACCCAGAAAATTTAGCTCAATCTCAATTCTCAACCAATAACTTATGATAAATTATCTGTAGGCTTGGAATAACTGAGGCTTCTGGGACAAACATTCGGCGCAACTTAATCTCTTTAACATCCCACAAAAATCTGGCATCAATAACATAATGCTCCACAGCCAACCCCTGTTCTCCACCCCCCCTCCCTCCCCCCGCCCCACCCCCAAAAACAAACTCCAAGGAAAGAAATCCTGGGAAACTGGCACTGTTTCCAGCCATCGATATCCATGTACACATACCGGGAAACCTTACTGCTTTCCATTTCCAAATGGATTAATTTCCCACCAGTATTAGATTTTTGGACAAAAAAACATAACATTGGATCATTCTTCAGCCTTTTCTCATGATCTTTTGAGTCCACAGAAAGCTTCACCCATTCCCTAAATAGTCAGCACCGGCCCTAGACATAGGCCATTAAGGCCACCGCCTAGGGCCCCAATTTAATATATATATTTGGGCCCAAAAAAAAATTGAGAATCACTTAAAAAAATTTTGAGGCCTCTAATTGTAAGGCAATTTTAGGCACAAAGTACGAACGCAATAAGAAATCGATACAAAAATAACGAATTTGGGTTTAGCCTTAATAGATACGGGTTATTAACAAATGAACTTAATAGGTCTCATAAATAAATGAGTCAATATAAATCCGACTATACACGAAACAAATCTGCTAAAAAATACTTTTATATAATACATATTCGACTATACAAGATTATTAACGGAA